AGGGACATAACTGGTAATAGCCATTGGTCGCCACGATCGAGCCCAGGAATTCCAGGCTAGTTCGGCAAGGGTGGAAACTGGACTTTCAAAGTCAGTTAACTCTCTTGCCTCGGGAAGATGGCTTCCAATGACATTTTTTACATGGAGCAGAAAGGAGCCAGAAAGGGATCTTAGGATTGTAATGATCCATTGCTGGTTAAAAAAAAAGATCATTGAAGAGGCTAAAACTCACCATCATAACCCCTCAGTGTGCTGGATAGAATACAGAAAAGCTTATGATTCTGTATCTCACAAATGGATTTTGAAGTCACTGAAATGTATTGACCTCCCCGAGCGGCTACTTGTTTTACTCAAGTCTTTAATGAATTGCTGGTCAACTCAACTTGAGATGTATTTGCAGGGGTAGGTGTTGACTTCGGAACCAATTTCTATTAGATGAAGAATATTTCAGGGCGATTCTTTTTGTCCTTTGCTTTTCTGTTTGTCCCTGAATTCTTTAAGCTTTCTGCTTAGCACAGAGGACGGACCTGAACCTACCTAGTACAGATCTCAACACCTCTTACTAACCTCCTTTACATGGATGACCTTGAACTCCCGGCCAAACAAAATCCACACTAAAACAGAGATTCTCATTGTCGAGTCCTTTTCTAAGGATGTTGGCATGTCCTTTAGACTCGACAGTCTGAAACTTGACAAGGTTCATTTAGAAGAGAGAGGATCAGTTGGGGGAGGCTGACTGACTTGGTTAATGTCATTGTATCCAAATTGTTTCGATCGAGGCTCATGATATCAACCACTGGTTTTTCTGGTCCAGACTCGAGTCAAGTTTCTACCTTTGTTATCTTATTACTTTGTTGTTCTACAGGTACATAGTGTTCTCTGCTTCATAGCATTTATTCACCTAAATATACTTCGAAACGTTGTTCCTCATAATAAAGAAGTTGACATCCATAATTTCTCCGCTCAGTGAGCATTTGACGTAGGAAATAGAGAACTATATGCGTAAAGACATTCTTAGCATTAAACTCCCTGGGCCAAGTGTAACTACTATAAGTCCCTGGTCCAAAGGCACTTTCGTTTATCATGGCCCAGCTTAAATTTTTTTTTATCTTCAATAGAATATTTACATATGCATGATATAAATACAAAAAAACAAAACGCACAATGAATTTTGACAGGCTGCTATCTGTTCACCAGTTGGAATATAGGCGTGTAGTTCGCAAGGAGGCTCAGACTGTCTTCGCCTGTTGTGGACATATTGGAACTACAACACATTCAGAGGTATTTTTACATTACTTTTACATATGCACAGCTAGAGGATACTAATTAAGACTTATTAGCTGAAATATCTTGGGGGGGGGGGGGGGGGGGTGCTGTCGGGTAGCCTAGTGGTTAAAGCGTTCGCTCGTCACGCCGAAGACCCGGGTTCGATTACCGACATGGGTACAATGTGTGAAGCCCATTTCTGGTGTCCTCCGCCGTGATATTGCTGGAATATTGCTAAAAGCGGCGTAAAACCAAACTCACTCACTCACTCACTCAGTGAAATATCTTGGAAATCTGTACCAACGCATGCTGCAGAATTGGGGCCGCATTAATCAATGCCTGTTCCTCAGGGTCTGCTGGAATCACATCCGATCAGCAGAATGTATGCAGACTCTCTGTTCAGCTGTCACATAAACCTGCTCACCGGCATATTGGCCTTGCTGCTATTGTGTACTGATAACATGGACACTCATATCTGTATCTCGTAACCTCATTTGTCATTTACACGCGACATGTCCATGTGTAACTATACCAAATCGGGTGGTTACCCCTCAACTGAATAATGCACTGCTCCACAAAAACTACAAATTGAACTATTACTTGGATTTCACATTCAACAGACAGGTCGCACTGGGATAGTCGTATGAATAGATTCCCTTGTCAAACGACAATTTTAGGTAAGTGTTTGTGAGTGAGTGAGTGAGTGAGTGAGTGTGTGTGTGTGTGTGTGTGTGTGTGTGTGTGTGTGTGTGTGTGTGTGTGTGTGTGTGTGTGTGTGCGAGGGTGTGAGTCAGTGAGTCTGTGAGTCAGTGAGTGAGTGCGTTGGGTTTAGCGCCGCTTTTAAAAGTATTCCAGTTATATCACGGCGTGTCAGCTGAATATTGATTGAAAGCCCGAAGTGATGTGATGCAGGTCAAAGACGTTTACCACTTCGGTGAAACCCACGAGCACGGATATGGTGCTGACAAACCTCGAAACATAATCAGGGAGAACCGGGATTCGAGTCCACAATCATAGGTGTCCGGTGTACCCAAGGGACGCAACTCTACACAGCGAATCGCGGCGCCTTGGACGACTGGGCCACGACTGAGGGAGAGAACAACTGTTTATCTCCTGATTATCTGATTATCATACACATTAGATATGTTTGTGCGTGTGTTTGCTTATGCGTCTGCGTGTGTGTTTGCGTGTGCGTGACTGCGTGTGCGAACGTGCAATCTCAGGTGAGTGTGAGTGACTTCGCTGTACAGAGTTAGGCCCCTTAGTTGTGCTTTGATCTGCTAATAGTGTGGTTTCAAGCAACAGATTTGCTCTGATTTGCTTGAATCTGCTAATCGTGTGGTTTCAAGCAACAGATTTGCCCTGATTTGCTTGGATCTGCTAATTGTTGGGTTTCAAGCAACAGATTTGCTCTGATTTGCTTGGATCTGCTAATTGTGGGGTTTCAAGCAACATATTTGCTCTGATTTGCTTGGATCTGCTAATTGTGGGGTTTCAAGCAATAGATTTTGCTTTTATGATCCTTTTGTTTTGTTAACACCATACCCGTGCTCGTGGTTTTCACCAAAGCCGCGAACGCCTCAAACTTGCATAACTTTGCGCTTTCCACCTACATAAAGCTAACACGCTCTGATTTAACCGAAATACTGTTTCGATCATAAACCCCAGCTAGCTCCACAAAACAATCCGACATCTTTACTGTAAAATGCTTTTTGTCAAAAGTTACACCATCAAGAAGAGACTTCTCAATCCTGCTGTGTTTTAAAAATGTGTACAGGGACCAGACGCCAAAACATCGACTCGATCTTGTTTTCTGTTTGACAACTTTTAAAAAAAATCAGCCTCGGCCTCAATAAGAAGGCTGTCGTTTTAAATTCAAATCTCTCCTACTGTGGGTCACAATAGTCACTGTGTCGTATGACCTTGAAATGACATGACATAACTATTATTATATTATCATAACACGTATAGATCGTTATCGCAGGCTGCATATTAGGGTCATATTCCACACCTACCACCTGAAACCCATGCCTTCGACCCCATTTTGCCCTGTACTTACTACCATGGCACAACGTGCATCATGCATGTTACTGTGCACGTCCCACGTGTAGGGCACCGGTATCTGTACCCGATTACACGAGGACACTGAGTGGGATTGTCAAGTGTACGTTCCACCTAGCACACATATAATAGGATTAAGCCAGGTGTACAGTAAAAATGGCACACACGTAAAGCAAACAAGATATACACCTGATATCCATACTATTTTTTGTCCATTGCCTGTTTACTTTGTATTTGCGTTGAAAACTCCAATCAAGTAAACAACATCACAAACTGAACGACCGCCTCCGTGGTCTAGTGGAGTCGGTTGATTTGAAAGTCCGGGGCTCGATCATCGGTCGCGTCACACCAAAAGACGTTAAAAGATGGTACTTGTTGTTACCCTATCTGGCCCTATTAAGGGGCTCTAGCGGTAGAACGTCCGTCCGTAGAGTGGAAGGTCCGGGGTTCGATCCCCGGTCCAGTTTACATTTCATACACTGCAATGTTTCTGGCTTGACAACGCGTGCAACGCGTGCCATAGCCTCATGGCACTCCGTCATATCACATCTTCCCTAGGCAAATGAGTTAACTGACTATAAAAGTCCAGTTTCCACCCTTGCCGATCTGGGCTGGTATTATGGAATTACATTTTGGTTGTGCTAACGAGTCTATGCAAAGTCCAATCGAAATCGCGCAACGAAATCGAAATCGGTTCGTAAACTGTCGTGCTGATTTCGATCGATTGCAGGATTTGCAAAGCATGTGCACCGCCAACTCGTTGTTAACAGATATTTTCAAAATCTTTTCATGATTTTAATCAAGGTCTTCACGTAATCTGATGCACTTTGTGATGTAAGACCCGTTTTAACACAATATAGATCTTGATTATTGATCAGATTGTATTGACTGGGCGCCGCCATGCAGTTTGAATCAAATGCAAGTGATGCGAGAGGTGGAATCTGATTGGTCAAGTGGAGAGGTTTAGAAGGGACATAACTCGTAATAACCACTGGTGGCGCTCCGATCTAGCCCAGGAATTCCAGCCTAGTTCGGCAAGGGTGAAAAACTGGACTTTTAAAGTCAGTTAACTCTCTTACCTCGGGAAGATGTCATAATATCATGAACCTGTCTTTAAACTTAACATGTCCAGAAATTAGCACTAATATGTTGTCGAAATGCAGGGTCCAATATAAATCCTTTGTGTTTATCATTGATACCTAAAAACCCATCACAAACTGAACGTCAGAAGTGATGCATTTGGAATTTATTACTTTCAAACTTTCGAGTCGAGAGAACTTCTATATAATTTCAATCTACATCCAGCTCTAATCAATGCAGATGCTAGGCGACAAAATGCGCCGTTTTTTAAGAAGGAATTGTTTGAAAATCATAGTTGAATACTCTAATTTTATCACACGTTGATGTAAAACGTGTGCTTAAAGTACCATTAGTTAATGATAGTTTGATGGCCTGGCGTCATTAACTCATCAAACAATAAGACTTCAGTGAACCATTAGTGTTCAGCGTTCCCATTAGTTAATGAAGGCTTGATGTATCCGGGTCCAGACAAAAAACGGCCAGCTTACATGTCATAGACGGCAACGACGTTTCTCGCTTGACAACTTAACGTGTGCAGCTCTTGGCATTCCGCCACCTGTCGCTTTTTTCCGTAACCTACAAGAAGACGAGTTGATCACGAAGGAGCCTCGTGGCTTTCTGCTCTACACATTTGTCTAATTGCGGGGAAGGTTCACACGTGGAGTACCGTTCAATTGTCCATCCATGAGTTTTAAACGGCCTCCTTTCAATAATTTACTGAAGATAGACACGGTCACAACTGCAGGGACAGAGCGGACGTATGTATTCACAGGTGATTGATAAACGACAGACAGACTAACAGTATTAGATCACTAACTCAAACTACAATCATACAAATGTTTACCTGCATGAGCATATTATACTATTTAACTCTCAAAGAGATTGACTTACATAATGTGTACACACAATGACAATGTATTAATGATTTACCCCTAGCGTCATGTGTTCCGATACAAGATCTAGATGGAAATTTGCTACAGAAGTGTTACTCGTTGGGGCAAATGGTGAAGGAATGTTTTCAGAGTTTCTCAGATTGATTTAAGATTTTCCCCAAAGGTGTCAGACATAAAATTATTTAGATCAAAAGATTCCCATCAAATCAAAACTTGAATGATGATTTTTGTCCAAAATTCAAACATATTACAAAGAAAAGTATGTCCTTATGTTATTTTACAAACAAACAAAAATAAAATCAAATTGTAAAAATGGGCTTCATGAGCTTTGCACAATTTACAACATGTACAAAGAAACATAACTATAGTTAAAACGTAAAGATGGGCTCCATTAGCTGTCCACACGTCCCGCTTTGTTGGTATCTGATGTAGAAAACACAGTAATATATTCTCTAAATAGAAAAATACTCCCTTTACTCTCTGAGCCAAGAGTAACTTACTATAAGCCCCTGTTCCAAAGGTACTTTCGTTTATTATGACACATCGTAAAACATTATCTTAAATTGTATATGAATATATGTAAGATATGAATACAACACCCCCAAAACATCATACAAAACAAAACAAAACACAACTAACTTAAGTGAATGTAGGCGTGTAGTTCCTATGGAGGGTCACTACGGCTATGGTGGTCATATTGGAACAACAACAACAACAATAACAACAACAACAACAACAACAAAAACAAAAACAAAAACAACAACTCCATTATTTTGTAAATTCATAGCTATTTAGACACAACTTTTACATGTGCACAGCTTTAAAACACCAAGTTAAGACTTTTTAGCCGAAATGTCTTGGAAATGTTTGAGAACCCATGCAGTAGAAATGGGGCCACAATCGGTTCTGAGAATGCCTTGAATGCTTTAAAGTTCTTCAGGGTCTACTGGAATCACTGCCCGATCAGCACAATGTGTGTGGACTCTCTGATAACTTGTCACAATAACCTGCTGACCGGCATAAAGGCCCTATTGTAATTGTGTACTGATAACATGGACACACATATCTACATCTCGTAACCTCATTTGTGAGTTACAAGCGATATGTCCTTGTGTAACTATTCCAGATTGTTATCCCTTAACTGAATAATGCACTGCTCCACCAAAAAACTACAACGCGAGAGAGATAGAGATGATATTTCAAGTGTCGAGTGAAATATTACGTTTCTCTCATCGAGTGACGTGAGGAAAGGAGATAATTTATCTCCTTTTCTCCCGCCAGGAGTAACTATTTATCATATACTTTTTTTGTCGTTATATTCCGGAAAATTAAATTATTTCATAACAAACGGGGAAATGCCCTATTGTAATTGTGTACTGATAACATGGACACACATATCTACATCTCGTAGCCTCATTTGTGAGTTACAAGCGACATGTCCTTGAGTAGCTACACCAGATTGTAACGTTACCCCTTAACTGAATAATGCACTGCTCCATAAAAAAAACTGCAACACGAACTACAATTTGGATTTCACATTCGACACACAGGTGGCACACGCACTGGGACAGTTGTGTGAATAGATTCCCTTATGAAACGACAATTTTAGGTAAGTGTGAGTAAATTTGTGAGAGAGAGAGAGACATTAGATACGTGTGTGTGCGTTGTTAAGGCTCCTTAGTGCTTGGGTCTGCCAATTGTGGGGTTTCAAGCAACAGATTTGCTTTGATTTGCTTGGATCTGCAAATTGTGTTTTCAAACAACAGACTTGCTCTGATGATCCTTTTGTTTTGTAAACACCATACCCGTGCTCGTGGCTTTCACTAAAGTCGCGAACGCTTCAAACTTGCATCACTTCGGGCTTTCCACCTACATTAAGCTGACACGTCCCGGGTTAACTGAATACTGTTTAGATAAACCCTAGCTAGCTTCACATTACTATCCGACATCTTGTTAGAAAATGCTTTTTGTCAAAAGTTACACGATCGAGTAGAAATTTCCCAATCCTGCTGTTTTATAAATGTGGTCAGGGACGAGATGCCAAAACAGAGAGAGAGAGAGAGAGAGAGAGAGAGAGAGAGAGAGAGAGAGAGAGAGAGAGAGAGAGAGAGAATAATGTTTATTATAGTGTCACATGTTATATACACTTCATACTAAAACATGTACATGAACAGTAAAATATAACATCCGACCAGGTATGGCCTACGAGACACTAGACATAAAAGCAAATTACAACGTCATGATCTGGGTAAGGTAAAATAAGACATATACTAACACAATGTTTAAAATTAAGGTTGGGTTATGAACACGCACGCACGCACGCACACTCACACTCACACGCCAAATTACTTATAAAGTCACGCACACAATCATACACAAACACGTAGGTACACACACACACACCCCACCATACCATGCACACACACACGCACACGCACACACAAACACACGCACTCACACATACATACCCTACGGACATTATAACCCCCCCCCCCCCCCCCCCCCACACACACACACGCACTACGCACATACGGAAAAGCGCACACAGACTCAAATGAGTGACAAGCGTCTTTGGAACATTTGATCAATTAGCTTACAAAGAGTATAACACCCGAGTTCACATCTGAGTAATGATATAAATTTCTCGGTTGAAGATAAGTTTTTAAAATCTGGCATACATTCACACATATCGTTCATTACATCATAACGTAAATCATCATACATGTTACAATCAATTAAGAAGTGGACCTCAGTCTCTACTGAGTTAAAACAAAAAGGGCAAGTTCTATCCTGAAGGGGGATAGGGGGACGACTGTACCTCATTTTTTCAATGTTAATGGGGAGGCTGCCACTGCGTAAAAGTGCCAAATATTTTCTGGTGTTTCTATGGATATAGTTTGATAAGACATAGGGCTCAGGCACTAGATCCTTCTTAAGCAATCTATAGGTCCTCAGCTTATTACCATTAGGGTTATTAGCATCATTCCACAGCTCTGAAAACCAGGCAGTTTCATCCACTTGAAATAATTTTTGCTTAAACATCAATTCGATCTTGTTTTCTGTTTAATAACTTTTGACAAAAATCAGCCTCGGACTCAATAAGAACGCAGTTGTTTTAAACCCAAATCTCTCCTACTGTGGGTCACAATAGTCACTGCGTCGTATGACCTTGAAATGACATGATATAACCTATTATTATATTATCATAACACGTATCGATCGTTATCGCATGTTAGGGTCATATTCCACACCTACCACCTGAAACCCATGCCTTCGACCTCATATCGCCCTGTACTTACTACCATGGCACAACGTGTATCGTGCATGTTACTGTACACGTCCCACGTGTAGGGCACCGGTATCTGTACCCGATTACACGAGGACACTGAGTCGGATTGTCAAGTGTACGTTCCGCCTAGCACACAGAATAGCGCACAGATTGGATGAGCCAGGTGTACAGTAAAAGTAACAAATGGTACACATGTAGTGAAACCTCATATACAGCTGATATCCATACTATTTGTTATCCATTACTTGTTTACTTTGTGTTTTTTGCGTTGAAACCTCCAATCAAGTTAAGTACACAAACTAAAAGTCAGAAGTGATGCACTTGGTATTATTACTTATTGGACCTTTGAGGTAAGAGAACGGTTATTTCCTTGTACATCCAGCTAACTCAATGCAGATGAGGTGAAACAAAAAAGTCGCTTGCTAACACGGAATTGTGTGAACATTGTAGTGAAATACCCTAATGAAATGATACGTTGATAAAAATCGTATAGCGAAAGTTCCATTAGATAATGATAGTTAAATGAATTTGATTGCCAGTATTAACTAATGAAAAAATAAGACTTGGATCAACCATTAGGGTTTCCTTGTATATCTAGCTAACTCAATGTAGATGACGTGAAACAAAAAATATCGTTTGCTAAAACGGATTTGTGTGAACATTATAGTGAAATACCCTAAGGAAATGATACGTTGATAAAAATCGTATAGTGAAAGTTCCATTAGTTAATGATAGTTAAATGAATTTGATTGCCACTATTAACTAATGATACATTAAGATCAACCATTAGGGTTCAATAAACCCAACACTAGGACACTGAGTGTTCTGTCAGATTGTCAAGTGCGCGTTCCACTTAGCACACAGAATAGCGCACAGATAATTGGATGAAGCCAGGTGTACAGTAAATATGTCAAATGTCACCCAGGTAACGAAGCCATAGATACAGTTGTTATCCATGCTATTTATTATCTATTATCTGTTGTGGTTAATGTCTCCTGCGTATCACAACATATCATGTATACACGTCTCATAACATGGTTGTGGGTATTCTAGGTTGATAACGGAGTAAGAACCTACATTAGTTTTTATCCATAAAGGTGTAGGTTTTCTTATGAACGTCAGAAGTGATACATGTGGCAGTTATGTTAACAAAACGTTCGAGTCAAGAGAACTGCTACAGTAAACTACGGTTATAACGAACTCAAAGGGACGACTAATTTTAGTTCGTTATAACCGTAGTTCGTAATAAGTACATATACAGCATGACTACAGCAAGTAGTCGGGACCAAAAAGTAAGTTCGTTATATCCGTCAGTTCGTTATAAGCGTGTTCGTTATAACCGTAGTTAACTGTATTTCCATCTACATCTAGAACTCAATGCAGATGACAGCAAACAAAATATGACAAGGATTTGTCGGAAAATGTTGGGAAATACCCTAATGTAATGACACGTTGATGGAAATCGTATACTGAAAGTACCGCTAGTTAAAAACAGTTTAATACCGAATTTGTAAACCAATTTTAATGCCGCCATTAACTGATGAAACATTAACGATGTAATGAACCATTAGGGTTTTATGATCAATTAGTAAATGAGGGCTTGAAACAACCGGGTCCAGACAGAAGTCAAAGCTTACATTTCATACACGGCATTGTTTCTCGCTTGACAACGTGTGTCGTGTGTGCTACTTGTGCCTTGTGTCATTAATCTTAACATTTCCAGAAATATGTACTTATATGTTGATGAAATACAGGCTCCAACAAAACACTTTTTGTTTATCATGGATACGCCAACAACACGTTTGTACATCATTAACTGAACGTCAGAAGTGATGCATTTGGCATTTGGTACTTTCAAACTTTCGAGTCGAGAGAAAAGCTATTTCAATCTACATCCAGCTCAACTCAATGCAGATGATAGCAAACAAAACGTGCCGTTTTCTAAGAAGGAATTGTTTGCAAATTATAGTGTAATTCTCTAATTTAATCACACCTTGATATAAACCGTATCCTTAAAGTACGATTGGTTTATGATAGTTTAATGACCTGTCGCCATTAACTAATAATACATTTGAATTAATCATTATTGTTCAGTGTTCCAATTTGTTAATGGAGGTTTGATGTATCCGGGTCCAGACAAAAAAAATCGGCCAGCTTATATGTCATTTAGGGCAACGGCGTTTTTCGCTTGACAACGTAAGTAACGTGTGCAAGGGGAGTTGATCACGAAGGAGCCTCGTGGCTTTCTGCCCTACACATGTGTAAACACAATGACAATGTATTGACAATGATATACCCCTAGCGTCATGTGTTCAAATACAAGAAGGAAATTTGATACAGAAGTGTTACTCGTTGGGGCAAATGGTGAAGGAATGTTTTCAGAGTTTCTCAGGTTGATTTAATGTCAACGGGACCTGAACAACATCTGTTACGATGACGTCAGAAGATCATAATGGTCAAACGACAAAGTCACAAAGTCAATAACGCGTATGACCACCCTGTGCGTGAATCACAGCAGTGCATCGGCGACGCATGGAGTCCACCAAATGGGCATGGAAGGCCTGGGGAATGGCCTGCCATATCCTCCTCAAATTATTTAGATAACAGACAGACAGACAGTTTATTAAGAATGTAAGCCCATGTGGCCCATGGTACAGTTCAGTTTTAAAAGAATACATAAAAATCTACGTGATCTTGAACAAAGCATACTGTATCTTTACCTGAGTCTAATACATATTTTAAATACATTGCTAAAAATTTGAAAACATCTTCTTTGGTCGAATTCAACAAAAATGGTCATTAATTGATTGTCTTTGTGTGTAATATCTAAACTAGAAACTTTAATATCAACGTTTTATATTTTCCAAATACAAATAGAACATGAAACTCGTCTTCAACCTCCTGATTGGTACAGTTAGTTCATATACAATTCACAAAATCACTATCCTTGGTTCAACGACATTTATTGACATGGAAACTATGGAGTGGTATTCTAAATTTACAAAGAGCTCACAATAGATATTTATCTTGTTATATACTTACAAATGTTTCTGGTTGTATTAATGATTTGATATCTAATGCTTGAGAAAGTGCATAGAGGAACGTGTTGGCGCCAGTTTTGCTGAAATATATAATATGATAATATTTGTTTACATGTATTTAAGAATAGCTTTTCATAACCTGTGTCTTGTGAGATCCATACAAAGGAAAGTCCAGTATTAAATAACATGCTTCAGACACCCAATTCAATTTCTCATATCATCTAATTGCTTAAGCATTTTGTAACATTGAAATGGGTACCTAAGAGCTTCCACTTTTAATAATTTTATCCAATATTTAACAACACACAGCTGAACAATTACACTACAGCACCAAGTAGTGCCTTATGTGAAACATATTTACCAATGCATAAAAATTGCTTAAAATACAAAGTGTGAACTTTTTCAATGGATTCAAAATGTGTAATGCCCCGTATATAACAGATGGATATAAGTTTACCATCAAATATCGAATTTTCTGTGGAAAATGAAATATATTTGTTTTCCTTGAATAATTTATAAACAGAGAACATTGCCTTAGATGCCTGAAGCGCTACGGTCTTACAAACCTTGGACCAATTTAGTCTTGAGGACTAATAGTTAATAGTCTTAAATACTTATAATAACTAGCAATTTGTAAATGTTTATCACCATACACTGTATATCCTATTTTCATGCTTCAATACAATTCCACCATTTCTAAAAACAATAACATTGGTTTTCCCAAGGTTTACTTTAAACCCCACTTAATACAAAAGGACTGCAATACATTCAGCTGTTTCTGCGGGCCTACCACATAGTAGGACACCAGAGCAACATCATCCGCGAACAACAATAACATAATATCTATAATGTCTTGTGTCACAAACACACCGTGATGACATTCTTTGTAAATTTTGAATGAATAAGAATGGGCTTATGACGCAATCTTGACGAACACCACTGGAAGTAGTAAAACAATTAAGGAGTTATACCCGAGTCAGTTTTGATACATGCTTTGAATGAGGAATACATATTCTTAAGAACTATTGACAGTTTTCCACGACATCCTTTAGTGATCAATAGGCACATCAGTTTATTTTTCTATCCACGTAATCAAAAGCTTTGCGGAAATCAACAAAGGCGCAATAAAGACGACCTCTAGGTTCACATAAATATTTCTAGCAAAGCGACTGTAGAAGAAATATATCGTCAACTGTAGAATACTCAGAGCGAAACCCTGCTTGAGCTTCAGATATCATATCATTTACTTCAAGCCAAATTCTAAGTTGTTTGTCAACAATAAAAGCCAATAGTTTTCCCAAGACATTTAAAACAGATATACCCCTGCAATTGTTTGTTTGACTGAAATGTCCTGATTTGTATAAAGACATTTTCGTTCCAATATTCCATGCATCGGGGAAAATACCCTAATCAAGGAGTTTATTAAATAAAACCAACAAATGTGGTATTAGAAAATCTCCTGATGTTTTGGAGAATTCTGGCGGGACGCCTGATGCTTTACCATTTTCAATGCTTTTTACTGCTTCTCTCACTTCTTGTTCCGTCATCTCACGAGATAACAATTCTTCCGTGAATGGAAGTTCAGTACATTTATCACACATATGAGTATCTAAAAATCAGATATTGATAGATCAAATTCTGTTTTTGCCGTCATGCACGTTGGATTAAATACATTCTGAAATTAGGACAGCAAAACAAGAGTAGTTATAGAACTGTCTGGTGATTTTTTACGTAACGACTTCTTAAGTATCTTCCAAAACGTTTCAAATCTCGATAATGCGCTGCTAGCTTAATTTCTTCACTCAATTTTACGTCATACAGTTTTTTCTTACGTTCAGAAATTTTTCAAATTCTGATCTTGCACTTACATATTTGTGTAAGTTCAAATCACACTTGTGATTTCTGAAGTTGTTAAGACATAAATACTTATGATTACTTAGATTTCATATTCTTACACTTACTGTCAAACCAGCCTGGCTGAGATGCATGGTGAAACAGCACCACCACTTGTAGCACAACATATCACAATGTCAGTGAGCTTAGTAACTGCTGTGTTAAGGTTATCCTTCAAAATGATTGAAAACTCCATTTAATGTATTACCGTGATGGAGGTGGTAGGAAACAACTTGCTCAGGAGGAGTGAGTGAGTTGGGTTTAACGCCGCTTTTAACAGTATTCAAACTGCTCACCGGCATAAAGGCCTTATTGTAATTGTGTACTGATAACATGGACACATATATCTACATCTCGTCACCTCATTTGTGAGTTACAAGCGACATGTCCTTGAGTAGCTACACCAGATGTTGTGTACTGATAACATGGACACACCTATCTACATCTCGTCACCTCATTTGTGAGTTACAAGCGATATGTCCTTGTGTCACTATTCCAGATTGTTATCCCTCATATGAATAATGCACTGCTCCACCAAAAAAACTACAACGCGAGAGAGAGAAATGACATTTCATGTGTCGAATGAAATATTACGTTTCTCTCATCAAGTGACGTGAGGAAAGGAGATAATTTATCTCCTTTTCTCCCGTCACAAGTAAGTATTTATCATATACCTTTTTGTCGTTATATTCCGGAAAATTAAACTATTTCATTACAAACGGGGAAATGCCCCCGACACAAAATTCCCCAAGTTCCCCCGATTGGCTTTTTCAAACTGTCCCCCATTAAAGTTCCAGTGAAGGTATATACAATTTTGAGCTTTCTACGAATTTGTTTTCAGGTTTGTTAATTTTTCTCTAATGCTCCTGGCCCAGTAAGAGAGAGAGAGAGAGAGAGAGAGAGAGAGAGATGAAGAGAGAGAGAGAGAGAGAGAGAGAGAGAGAGAGAGAGAGAGAGAGAGAGAGAGAGAGAGAGAGAGAGAGAGAGAGAGAGAGACCCTTTGTGCAACACTCGATCAAAGCTTTAAATATGTCACAGAAAACTACACAAACGAGTTTGTTTTTAAATGCCTCATACAAGCGGGCAGTAACCCAAACCTGTTTCATATCACGATGGCTAAAGCATGGCAAAACATGATGATACAAGTATCGTTAATTTTATGGTTTACAGAATAAGGTCAACCGTTCTTGAAGGATGGAGAACACGACTTCCTCGTGGTCCAATGGCACAGACGTGGACGACATTCCCCAGTATATCGGCTTCATCTGCTGTGGGATAGCGTCCATCATGTTCGGCACTAACTTCGTACCAGTCAAGAAGTTCGAGACTGGTGATGGTAAGCGGGTGGCTGATGAGGACGGATGGGTGATGGTAAGCGGGTGGCTGATGAGGACGGATGGGTGATGGTAAGCGGGTGGCTGATGAGGACGGATGGGTGATGGTAAACGGATAGGTAGTGAGGACGGATGAGTGATAGTGAACAGATTGGTGGTCGGGTAATGGTAACCGGATTGGGAGGGGGGTGGTGGTTAGTAGTTAAGTGGTGAGGCCGGGTGGGTGGTGGTAAGTAGTAATGTGGTGAGGACGGGTTTGGTGGTGGTAAGTAGTAATGTGGTGAGGACGGGTTTGGTGGTGGTAAGTAGTAATGTGGTGAGGACGGGTTTGGTGGTGGTAAGTAGTAATGTGGTGAGGACGGGTTTGGTGGTGGTAAGTAGTAATGTGGTGAGGACGGGTTTGGTGGTGGTAAGTAGTAATGTGGTGAGGACGGGTTTGGTGGTGGTAAGTAGTAATGTGGTGAGGACGGGTTTGGTGGTGGTAAGTAGTAATGTGGTGAGGACGGGTTTGGTGGTGGTAAGTAGTAATGTGGTGAGGACGGGTTTGGTGGTGGTAAGTAGTAATGTGGTGAGGACGGGTTTGGTGGTGGTAAGTAGTAATGTGGTGAGGACGGGTTTGGTGGTGGTAAGTAGTAATGTGGTGAGGACGGGTTTGGTGGTGGTAAGTAGTAATGTGGTGAGGACGGGTTTCGTGGTGGTAAGCGGATGTGTGTGAGGCCGGGTGGGTGGTGGTAAGCGGGTGAGTGGTGAGGACGGATGGATGATAGTAAGTAGTAATGTGGTGAGGACGGGTGGGTGGTGGTAAGCGGGTGAGTGGTGAGGACGGATGGATGATAGTAAGTAGTTAAGTGGTGAGACCGGGTGGGTGGTGGTTAGCGGATGTGTGTGAGGCCGGGTGGGTGATGGTAAGCGAATGTGTGTGAAGCCGGGTGGGTGGTGGTAAGCGGGTGAGTGGTGAGGACGGATGGATGATAGTAAGTAATAATGTGGTGAGGACGGGTGGGTGGTGGTAAGCGGGTGGGTGATATATAACCGGATGGGTGTGAGGACAGCTGGATGATGATTAGCGGGTGGGTAGTGAGGACGGATGGATGATGGTTTGCGGGTGGGTAGTGAGGACGGATGGTTGATAGTAGTAAATAGTAATGTGGTGAGGATAGGTGGGTGGTGGTTACTGGATGGGTGGTGAGGACGTGTGGCAGATGGTAAGTAGTATTGTGGTGAGGAGAGATGGGTGATGGTAAGTAGTAATGTGGTGAGGATCGGCTAGTTATGGTTATCTGCTGGGTGTATCAACGTGGCCTAGTTAAGAAACATTACAGCTTATTCAGTGACACCATATTTTATTATTTCAGGAATGTATTTCCAGTGGGTGTTGAGTAATGCCATCATCATGTCGGCTATAGTGGTACAGACGATACGGCTGTCACGATTTTACCCGTTCGTCATGGTCGGGGGCATCTTATGGGCCACAGGTGAGTGATGTCCCCAGGCTTACATGCCCCCCCCCCCCCCCGTCTTCGTCATAGTCGGGGGCAACTTATGGGCTACAGGTGAGTAATGTCCCCAGGCTTACATGTCTCCTCACTTCGCCATGGTTGATTGTTCCATCTAGCCCACGTTAGAGTAACAGGCTAACACGTCTTCCTTCGTCACAGTTGGTTGTTTAATCCGGGTCACGACTGTGTGACGGACTAACATCAAATCACTGCTTAAGTACAGGGCCAGAAATACGTCTGATTTGTTAATTAAAGCTACATGCAATCTCACATTAAAATGAAATCTCAACTCTCGCTTCAGGTACACAAAGATCTGAAGATGTCCCATTATAGGTCACGACCAACCAATGAAATTATTAACATGAAGTCGACGTTAGCAAATGAGAAAGCAGCTTTCTCGAGCTTTAGGCACTGGTTTCACACTGGCGAATTTCATTCCAGACTGGGATTAGAAAACTTCTCGATTCAAAAATTCAAAACTGAACAAAGAAACCTCTGCTATGTCTAACAGATGACCGAGATTGTGTGTCGGTACTTTCGACGACCTATGGAAATTCTCCTCCGTGGGAAATGTTCATCCCATTGAAGACGATCATTTTGACGGAATCAGTCGTACAGCCCGCAACTGGGAGTTGCACGATCAGAAAACACATTTGGCCTTTCACTTCCGCGATCTTGTTAGCGAAGCTCTGATTGGTCGGATTGGACGTGGCCTTTGATGGGATGTCCGAAGATTTATGTGTAGCGGTAGCGAGAACTAACATATGATTGAAATGAGACTGAGCTAAATATATGCAGGGTGTACTAGAACCGCGTACTATATACATTCCCATACCAATGGAGTATTTTAACTGTTGCATCTGGAATTTCAAAATGACGTACTTTGTTGCATAATGGCCAGTACTCTTAAATCTATATTCTCCCCCACCCAATGGCGGTGGGGTAAGCTAGTGGTAACAGTTTGGGCCTATTGCGCGGAAGAACCGGGTTCACTTCCCAACGAGGGTACAATGTGTGAATATAAATGATTAAATTGTCAATGCAAAAGCATAATCAGTCTAGATTATCCGCTGAAACAGAATCCATTGGGCGTAAAGGGCCAAATAGCTATGAAAATTAATAATGTGCTCGAAGCCCATTGCTGGTATCCCATCGCCCTGATGTTGCAAAAGGCGACGTGGAACCCTACTAACGTCCTCTCTTCCGCCAGGAAACATCTGTGTCGTCCCCATCGTGAAGACCATCGGCCTTGGTCTCGGTATCTGTGTCTGGGGCTCTGCGCAGTTGCTCGTCGGCTGGGCCAACGGCAGGTGCGTTGTATCTGGAATGATGCGTTTGGTCTGATACATTTACATTAAATGCTATTTGATCGATAATGACCATGGCTAGCTCAGTGACCAAAGGCGACGACTCAAGCTGAGCAGAGATGGTTTAGTTAGCAAGCTTCTGGTAAGACATCCCAAGGCGGCTTGTTGAGCATCATACCAATGGGTTTCACCAGAATGGTAATCGTCCAAAGCCGTCGTCAATTTGAGCTTCACCCACACGTGATGCACCTATAAAAATACTTTCAAAGCAGTTTTTAACTAGGGGTTGATTTACCGGTATGTTTAAGCGGTCATAGTCATAGCAATCGTTATATAATTTAAATCCTTAGAAGAACATGTTGCAGGTTCGGACTGGTGGGCGTCGAAGCAGAGATTCCCAACAACCTCGCCATGAACTACGCCGGGGTGTCTATCTCTCTCGTCAGGTAAAGCAGGCAACTTGTCTGTATCTACTGCGTGTATAATATATGTATCTCACTATTCTATGGTGAAGAATATCTAAATACATTTATTAATTTATTATAATTGTGTTAATTGAAATGTGGCATCTTCTGATGTATCTCGTGCTGTATCTAAGTGGCGTGGCGGTGCGTGGCGTGGCGTGGCGTGGCGTGGCGTGGCGTGGCGTGGCGTGGCGTGGCGTGACGTGACGTGACGTGACGTGACGTGGCGTGGCGTGGCGTGGCGTGGCGTGGCGTGGCGTGATCGTTGGAATCCAGGCCATACCATGGCGTTGGTAGGTAGGCATTGGCATGGCGTAGCGTTGCTGTGGTGGGACAGAGTGTAAACCATGGGAGGATGGTAGGGTGTTGTGTGGGTGTGGATGTGGATTGAGATGACGATGTGGGTGTGTTCTCTGTTAAAGCCGGTGTACTTGGGGACATGAATAGGTGTCGAGTGTCGGGCAGTAATCGGAGTGTTGGCGTCGTTTGAGGTGTAATAGTAAGCAGCTGTACACTGTATATACATCACTGTGGCTGGAACAGACCTGTCAATGCCCCTGTTGTAATAATAACAATTTTCTCTGCAGTACCGTGATGTACGCTTTTGTCAAGCCAGATATTAAACCTATCACCATGGACATAACAATACCAGCACCTGACGCCGAGTCGGCGAACAGTAAGGTCAGTACATGTGTCGCAGTGAGTGAGTATGGTTTAGCAATATTATTGCAGGGGACACTAGAAATGGGGATTGCCTAAAAGTCGGGCCAAGAAAAGTCGGGCCGGGCCGGGCCAGCGGGTAATACTAAAAATGGATTGCAGAATAATAAAACGAAACGTGCATATCTAGGCAGATCTCAAATGTCCAGACACGGATAGTTTTGCTCATTTAATTGAGTTTGAATCAAAATGTATCTTCAGCAATGTAATAAACTGATAATTATAGCTACATACCGAGAGTTCATACCGAAAAGCCAGTGTCTTGACTGTGTCTTTACTTTGATGAGAAGGTTTCTCACCGACCTTAGCGTGCAGGGGTGTGATGTCCTGGGCAGGAAATCGAAATGACAGTGTTTTGACTACTCTTCTTTCATTAATTTAACGTGTTTGGCATACCTAATTAACCTTTACTAATTCATGTTAAACCAACACAGGATGTTTTCTGGATAATGGATATTCGCGAATGTCATAGGACTGACACGACATGTGTTAATAACTGTCAAAGCGCTTCTAAAATTACAACACATACTTTACATCTATAGACTTATTATAATATCATATCTACCTATATAACACTTAAGTGTCTCATATTGCAGTAGCAAACACGGTGCTCAAAAGTGAGGTCCTTTTCCCTCTACTTTCTCTCTATCAGAAGTGTTTGGCTTGTGTTGGGTCCGACTTGGCCCGGGCGGTCAAAATCAACTTTAAACACACAGACGTATCTTCAAATGTGTTTACATCTATAGATTAGTGTTATATCTACCTATATACCACTTTATAATGTCACGGTACATCGTATTTAAAGAAAACAAGGTGCTCAAAGTGAAGCATTTTTACTGTATTTTCTTAAGAAAATCTATGTCAGAAGTGTTCGGTCCGACTTGGCCCGGGCTGTCAAAATCATCTTAAACCTCACAGATGTATCATGCAATGGATTCACATCTATAGATTAGTATTATATCCACCTATATACCACTTTATAGTGTCTCAGATCGCTGTACTTAAAGAAAACAAGGTGCTCAAAGTGAAGCCCTTTTCCCTCTACATTCTCAACATATTCTCTATCAGAAGTGTTTTGCTTGTGTTGGGTCCGACTTGGCCCGGGCGGTCAAAATCAACTTTAAACACACATATGTATCTTCAAATGTGTTTACATCTATAGATTAGTGTTATATCTACCTATATACTACTTTATAATGTCACGGTACATCGTATTTAAAGAAAACAAGGTGCTCAAAGTGAAGCCCTTTTCCCTTTACATTCTCAACATAGTCTCTATCAGAAGTGTTTGGCTTGTGTTGGGTCCGACTTGGCCCGGGCGGTCAAAATCAACTTTAAACACACCAGATGTATCTTCAAATGTGTTTACATCTTTGGATTAGTGTTATATCTACCTAAATACCACTTTATAATGTCACAGTTTATCGCATTTAAAGAAAACCATGAGTTCAAAGTGAAGCCCTTTTTCCTCTACATTCTCAACATGACTAGTATTATATCTACCTATATAACACTTAATAATGTTGCACGATAACTCAAAGAAAACTGGTCTGTTAAAGTCGAGCACTTTCACTGTATATTCTCAAGAAAATTTCACCAAATGTGTTGGAGTGAAGTATACTCTTTAAAGTGAAGCCCTTTTTTCATGGTATGTGTCTGGTCGGAAAATCCCTTGCTTTTACCTAATCCGTCGTGGTTTTTTTCAAGGATCATACACACAGGGTAACACTTGGAGAAGGTAAGATGAGACACTTTGCAATCCAGGATAAACCTCTCCCTCAACCCTGCTTAATGCTTCTATTATCTATGAGTGTGTTTAGGAAAACAGGATTATCTGAGACAGTTGTAATCTGCCATACCGCGAGAATACGTGCTGCATCTCCGAGCAGCTCGTTCTGTGACAACACACTTCTCCTGAACCTGACTTGGACCACTCAGTATTATTGTCGTGATGGTTAAAAGACGCCATAAATTAAAGTTCTCTATATATCTAGCAACTTTTTTTATATAAGCACGATCCTTCCGACTCCCAAACAACCAATCAATATTCACGGCAGAACTAATGGGCATGGCCTCAGCCCTCCATAATCAAGAATCCAAAAACCACAAAAAATCCTAATACTTACCGACTCCCTAAGTGGACTGCAAGCCCTCCAAAACAAAAATACCAAAAACTGACCTAAATTAATAAATCAAATACTTAAAAGCTCCAACGACCTAACTAAGGCAGGCAAACAAATAACCTTCTTGTGGCTACCCGCCCACGTAGGAATATACGGTAATGAAAACGCCGATAAAGCAGCTAAACTATCCCTCAAAATCCCAGAAATAAGCTTAAACTTACCCATCTCAAAATCAGAAATTAAAAGTGTAAACAAGCAAAATATCACAAAAAAATGGCATAACCTATATCTAAACTCAAATAGCCAAATCAAAAAAGTGCTCAGCAAACCACTAACCAAACCAAAAATTCTCCATGCATCAAAAAAAATCGACAGAGTATTCACTAAACTCCAAACAGGACACACCAACCTAAATAACCACCTTAAAAAAAACACACTACAGGTAACTGCCCACACTGCAAACAACCAGAAACCCCAGAACACGCACTCCAGTCAGTCAGTCAGTCAGTCAGTCAGTCAGTCAGTCAGAGTCAGTCAGTCAGTCAGTCAGTCAGTCAGTCAGTCAGTCAGTCAGGTACAGAAACTGAAGTAAGTTGGGCTCTCTTAGTTTTCTGTATGCTTACACATCATCACGTCATACTGGATTTAATTTAGTTTCTTATTCTAATACTGCTAATCTTTGTCAGTGGCCAGTGAAAGTATCACAAGGGAAAATTCCAATATATACAAAATATACAATTTGTATATATGGTATATCCAAAAATATACAATTCTGATTATATGGTATATCCAAAAATATACAATTTTGTATATATGGATAGATTTTACCACTGTTGACAGCATTTTACATAATAAAGAAATAGAAGATTTCAGCAGACTTTTGTAACTGTTAGATATATAATACGTCCGCCTACTGTTTACAAATAAGATGATCTATACATACAAGTAGTTCAGAGTAGTTTTAAACAGTGACGGTAAAATAAATTTATCGTGAATAGCGGCAAATATGAATATATACAATTTAATATATATGTTTCTGTTATGTCATGGTATGTTGATTCTGAATCTAAAATATTGCTTGATATTGTTTGCCAAACAGTTGTATGCACTGTCCATCGTGATACTTCTACTTAAGTATATAAAAAAGGATGTTTGTTTAGACATGCGTTCATTGTAAACAACGCCGTGTTTTCGTTTGCTGGTTAGCTTTTACAGGTCAAAAGCAAAGTTAATCGCATTACTTTCGTGACGCATTTTAGGCCTGTCATACAGTTCCTGAAACAAATATATCCAATACAGCCGATGAAAGTCAATCATATTTGGCAAGACTAGATTTTATCAATATAATCAAACAATTGTTTTTATTTTTGTAAAATATGTTCATTTCAGAAACTAGATGTTAGTCTAGCCAGCGGTCTAAACTCGCATTAATTTGGTTACACGTTTCATGATTTACAGTATTCGTGAAGAATATGTAACAGTTAGCCACAATTAGAGCCTTTGGTAGGAATAGGGGGAATGATAAGCATAGACTTGCTAAGTATTTTATGATATTCATGATAGCTCAAAAGAAACTTTGATTTATGTTTGTAGTACACCCCAGAAAGAGGGATAACACAAGTGATATATTAAGATGACATACAACTTATACATACTTACGTGTATAAACTACTATCAAACAGTGAGGATAACAGGTGTTTGCATAGAGGTGAGCGTATCCTGCACCACCGGTGGAACAAACACACGCAAAGGCAAGCTAGTTGTTAAACCCGATTAGCACAAGTCAAAACAGAGAATTTCATCGGACATAACTCCATTTGCTACTTCTGTGGTAGTCACCAATCAACCCATTTATACTTCCAAAAATAGCTTTAACCCTTTTAAAGCTTTTGAGAAATTCAACAGTATGGGTTTGGTCTGACAAAGCAATAAGCACAAATGGGGCATGTTTCGGCCAATGATTAGAGTATTCTTGCAAGTCTAAGGGTCCAACAGGAGTTATTTCTGCGACATGCTATTTCAAAACCCAAAATTCAGAGGGATATATATGAAAAGAAAAATTGAAATAATACAAATATAAATTCCTTCCAGGTGAAGGCTATCACTTGAAATCAAATTAACAAAGCAGATTTTAGTCAATGACACATGTCTTGGGGTAGAAGTTCATCTCTGTCACCATGCTATGGTATTTCTGGAACGGAAAGTTAACTTACGCTATCACTTGAAATCAAATTAACAAAGCAGATTTTAGTCAATGACACATGTCTTGGGGTAGAAGTTCATCTCTGTCACCATGCTATGGTATTTCTGGAACGGAAAGTTAACTTACGCTATCACTTGAAATCAAATTAACAAAGCAGATTTTAGTCAATGACACATGTCTTGGGGTAGAAGTTCATCTCTGTCACCATGCTATGGTATTTCTGGAACGGAAAGTTAACTTACGCTATCACTTGAAATCAAATTAACAAAGCAGATTTTAGTCAATGACACATGTCTTGGGGTAGAAGTTCATCTCTGTCACCATGCTATGGTATTTCTGGTAAGGAAAGTTAACTTACAAAGTTGTAATATACGTGAAAGGCTTAATGTTGCTGATTAAGCGCAAAGATATAAACTCTAACTGACTGCTCAGTAACATTCATGTAATATTAGTAATATTCAAATAAGTGTACTTGTTCTAGGCGTGTGTGGCGTGGATACATATATCTAAGCGTACAGAAGAAACGTCAACAAACTTGTAACTATGTATAAAATAATAAATAAGCCATGTCCTTCATATGTAACTTATCTTATACCACCAGCTGTGTCACAGAAGGTCAGTTATAATCTCAGAAACCGCCATGATTTTGTAGTTCCATTTGCACGGACATCTACGTTTAAAAGGTCTTATATTATAGATACATTAGGCCAATGGAATAATCTATCATCAGGAATCAGGGATAGTCCGTCAATATCTTATTTTAAAGCTGTCGCACCTGAGCAGCGTACATCACCACCTATGGACTATAATTGCGGTGAGAGATCTACAAACATATTGCATACTAGATTGAGACACAATTTTAGCACACTAAATTCCAACCTGTTTCGTGTTAATTATCTGATACTATTTCCTGTAAATGCGGAGCTCCTTGTGAAAATTCATTCCATTTCTTCTTCCAATGTACCTTATATGATGATATTAGGGAGACATTACTGACAGCTATCGATAATCTTGGAGGACAAAAAACTCTAAATAGAATTCTTTTTTGTGATCCAAACTTAGATGTTTTCCTGAATACAAAAATATTCTTGTCTGTACACAAATTTATAGAAACGACTAACAGATTCAGTAGCTAGCATATTATTGTTTCCAAACTGTTAATCATTAATATTGTTAAATCTATATACAACACTAACATGTATAATATTAGCATATGTATGAGATGCACACTGTCTTCACTTTCCAGCACATTGTACATATCCTTCATATGAGCACTGTATATAAATTTATATTGCGCACTATGTTTCCACAATTTGATGCTTCAACTGTAAATTGTTAAATTTCATTATGCAATATTATGTATAACTGTATATATGGAGAAGGTGGTAATAAGTGCTGCACTTGTGCCCAATCCCTTTGTCTTTTTGGACAATACAATATGTTTAATAATAATAATAATAATAAGCAACCAATGTATTATGATCAGGGTCCATTGGTATCCCTTCAGCAAGTGCGAATCAGGTCCTAACACATCTGTTTTGTCATGTATCACGCGCTATACAGTCGAACCTCGCTTATCCGGACAATTGCTTTTTCTAAAATGTTGTCCGGATAAACGAGTTTCTGGATATCTGAATACCTTGTTATCTGACCAGAAGTCCTTCCCCTACCTCAATTCTACCGAGGCATATGTGAAATGAATGGCAAAAATATGATTTAAGAAGGATCGACCAATTACTAATAAAATACATTGTGTTGTACAGACCTACGCAGCATGCTGTGACAGCGCACTGCATTATTGAAACGGCTGAAGAAATGTATATGCAGCCTAGTTTAGACTATGCACTTGTTTTGTGTACAGATACGACGGCGAGGTTGGGGCAACCTGACACACATGAGCATTAATAGCCATGTTTACCTTTACTAGTTGAGAGCCAAGGTTGAAGTAATTCATGTGCAAAACATGTTGTCGAGGCATCTGTACATCTTCTTTGTCGAATTGCATTATTAAAGTACATCAAGATGAGACATCATATACATTCATATATATTTGTTGAGCACGAAACCTTGAAGTGTAGCCCGGGCCAAGTCGGAGCGAACACTTCTGACATAGATTTTCTTAAGAAAATAAAGTAAAAATGCTTCACTTTGAGTACCTTGTTTTCTTTAAATACGATGTACCGTCACATAATAAAGTGGTATTTAGGTAGATATAATACTAATCTAAAGATGTGAATCCATTTGATGATACATCCGTGAGGTTTCAGTTGATTTTGACCGCCCGGGCCAAGTCGGACCGAACACTTCTGACATAGATTTTCTTAAGAAAATACAGTGAAAATGCTTCACTTTGAGCCCCTTGTTTTCTTTAAATACGATGTACCGTGACATTAGAAGTGGTATAGAGGTAGATATAACACTAATCTATAGATGTAAACACATTTGAAGATACATCTGTGTGTTTAAAGTTGATTTTGACCGCCCGGGCCAAGTCGGCCCCAACACAAGACAAACACTTCTGATAGAGACTATGATGAGAATGTAGAGGGAAAAGGGCTTTACTTTGAGTCCCTTGTTTTCTTTAAGTACAGCGTTCTGAGACACTATAAAGTGGTATTTAGGTAGATATAATACTAATCTAAAGATGTGAATCCATTTGATGATACATCTGTGAGGTTTAAGTTGATTTAGACAGCCCGGGCCAAGTCAGACCGAACACTTCTGACATAGATTTCTTAAGAAAATAGGGTGAAAATGCTTCACTTTGAGTACCTTGTTTTCTTTAAGTACAGCGATCTGAGACACTATAAAGTGGTATTTAGGTAGATATAATACTAATCTAAAGATGTGAATCCATTTGATGATACATCTGTGAGGTTTAAGTTGATTTTGACAGCCCGGGCCAAGTCGGACCGAACACTTCTGACATAGATTTTCTTAAGAAAATAAAGTAAAAATGCTTCACTTTGAGTACCTTGTTTTCTTTAAATACGATGTACCGTGACATAATAAAGTGGTATTTAGGTAGATATAACACTAATCTATAGATGTAAACACATTTGAAGATACATCTGTGTGTTTAAAGTTGATTTTGACCGCCCGGGCCAAGTCGGACCCAACACAAGCAAAACGCTTCTGATAGAGACTATGATGAGAATGTAGAGGGAAAAGGGCTTCACTTTGAGCCCCTTGTTTTCTTTAAGTACAGCGTTCTGAGACACTATAAAGTGGTATTTAGGTAGATATAACACTAGTCTATAGATGTAAACACATTTAAAGATAGATCTGTGAGGTTTAAGTTGATTTTGACAGCCCGGGCCAAGTCGGACCGAACACTTCTGACATAGATTTTCTAAAGAAAATACAGTAAAAATGCTTCACTTTGAGCACCTTGTTTTCTTTAAGTACAGTGATCTGAGACACTATAAAGTGGTATTTAGGTAGATATTATACTAGTTTATAGATGTGAATCCATTTGATGATACATATGTGCGACTGTTGAGAGTATAGGGAGAAGAGGTCTACTTTAACCAACGTGTCTGCTTTAAATACGACGATCAGTGACATTATAAAGTGGTATTTACTTATATATTGAACGTTCCTATAAATATAAACACTATGCTCACAGATGGAAATTTGTATCACGATAGCTAGAAGTATTTGATACGTTTCAAATCTTACTTCGTTTAACGATTGCTCTTTTACATGTTATCAAGATCAGCGACGCTTACACACTGCTCCACTTTCTGGTTGTCAAGCGATTTACTCCGAATTACTTATTTATGGTGCACTTTTTTGTTTGGTGATTGTTCATTAATGTCATGTGTGTATGTTGCATCAATTATATGTAGGTATGATCGCCGATAATGAAGTAATTAGCCAGTAACACTTTGGCCCGTCTTGGCCCGGCCCGGCCCGGCCCGACTTTTAGGCAATGCCCTAGAAATGGGCTTCACACATTGAACCACCTGGGCAATCGAGCCCATGACGAACGAACGCTGTTACCACTATGCTATCCCTAGTGTATTACATGGGTAAAGATACTGCTCCGGTACGATTGGTGGAAAAGTAAAGGGGATTTATCCTCTAAACTACGTTACTTTCCCTTATGCTTGCCGTAAAAGGCGACTATGCTTGTCATAAGAGGCGACTAACACGATCGGATGGTCAGTCTCGCTGACTTGGTTGATGCATGTATCCTATCCCAATTGCGTGGATCGATGCTCATGTCAATCACTGGATTGTCCTGTCAAGACTCGATTATTTACAGACCGCCGTCATATAGCTGGAATATTGCTGAGTGCGGCGTTTAACAACAACAACAAAAAGAAAGAAAAAAAGACTTCCCTATGCGTATGTTTTGTTGAAAACAAATGCCATCCGTGGGGATTCCTTGTTTGGTGTCTTGGATGCCTGCATGCCTTCGTATCCTAAACGACGATGATTAATGCTACTCACAGGAATGTCTTGTTTAGAATCAATTATTCACAGGCCACTGTGATACAGCTAGAACATTGCTGAATGCGGCATAAGAGAACAAATGAAAAATGCCTATTGAAACCACGCTGATACGTTCCAGCCAATGATGTGTCGCTAATGAAAACTTTTGTATAACTCTTACGATTGTAAGGGTTTTGTGGTTTCCCTTTTAGCTTTTCAAATGAATCCACGTTACCTCCTTAAATAAATATCTAGCTCAACAAATGATAAATTACGAAATAATAAGTGTCTCCAAATTTCACGTCCTTCAGTCGCCCAAAGTCGTTGAACTGACTGACATGGAAGAAAATCCACCCGTGAAACCGTCCCCCGGAGAGTTCATCCTAGAAAGATGGTCGCCTGCCAAGAAGAAGATCGTGTATGTTGAATATTTCCTTTTCAAAACCGTGCACAGTTATAACATATGAATCAGTTTCAAAATGTTCAAATAATGATTAATGTATTTACCTGATATTGACGAATCCTTAATTGCGTTCCAGGATGAATAATAAGTGTCCCACTTTCAATTATTTTATCCTGATAAGGGTAGGGGTAAATTGCATACATGGAATATCCAATCGCAGGACAACATTCAGCTCCCATCTGGATTAATAGGGATAACCTAATCAAAAGTTGAGCGGTATATGTCGTCATGTTTCAGAGGGATTATTCTCGCTGCGTTTTCGGGGGTGATGTACGCCTTTCAGTTCATCCCGGCCAGATACATACAGCAGCAATACAGAGACAACGGCGCCAGCCAGAACTGTGAGGATACCACATAATAAATTCATTGGCATTATTTCTGTTACTCTCAACACGGACTGTTCTTTGCATGACATTAACTGTTACGTGGATGCTGCTGCTCGAAGTCTGGAGGAACTCTATAAGTTTCCAAAGACACCAAAATCCTCAAAAGAAAAACCAGTTCCATATAAACTAAATGAAACAAGGAAAGATACATGATGGATAGAGCTCTGTTTGAAATTACGATCCTGAGGGAACAATAGGCCCAAAATCAATTTGGAAAAAATAAAATCAAATTACACCACCACAAGACAACAAATTCTAAATTCTAAATCAAATTCTTGATTCTCTGAAGGCAAAGTTGATGGTTTGGCAGAAAAAAAGAAAGTTGGACAAGAAACATAAATTCATGAAACAAAATAAACTGTTCAAATCTTACAAAAGCAATTTTACAGGCAATTAAATGCAACCAATGGCAGTGATGAGAAAAGACCCACCATTGATTCCAGTGAAAGGTCTTGGAAACAGTTGTGGTCTATACTCGGCAACCTCGCGGAACCATGAGGAGAGGATCTTAATGATATTGTACATGAAAAAATAAGGTCACCATTGTTGTGTTTCATAACAAAATGTAAGTCCAAAGCTTGTACGGAGCCAGGGCCTGATGGTATTCGAAACCAGTACGGGAAACTGTTTCTTTGTATCCAAACACCATTACGTCACTGCTTAAATTCTCTTGTGGGTACAGGGGATGTTCTGCCTTGGTTGTGCAAAGGTCGTACAATGCTTCTCCCAAAGAAAGGTGATTTGACTGTTCCCAACAAAATCCGCCCTATTACTTGTCTGAATGCACAATACAACATATTAATGGGGTGTCTTATTATCCTGTGTCATCGTTGATTTTGAAGTCACTGGAATGTATTGACCTCCCTTAGAGATTACTAGTTTTACTCAAGTCTTTAATGCATTGCTGGTCAACTCAACTTGAGATGTATTGGCAGGGGCAGGTGATGACTTCGGATTTCATTACTTTTAGAAGAGGAATATTTCAGGGCGACTCATTTAGTCCTTTGCTTTTCTGTTTGTGACTTAATTCGCTTTTTGTTTAGTAAAGAGGAAGGTTATCATCCTCGACCTCCTCAGCACAGATCCCAAACACCCCAAACACTCACCTCCTTTACATGGATGACCTTGAAGTTATTACCAATGGAGTATCTACACTAAAAACGATTCTCATTGTCGAGTCCTTTTCTAATGATACTGGCATGTCCTTTGGACTCGACAAATGCAACATTCTTCATCTGAAATGTGGCAAGGTAGAAGAGGATCAGTCAGTTTACTTGGGTGAGGAGTTATTGACCATCTCGTGGAAGGTGAGGCCCATACCTACTTAGGGTTGCAGGTTAGGGACAAACTCCAGAATGCCCATATCAAGGAAAAACTTTGGGCAGAGTATGTAGACTTAGAAAATCTGAGTTCAGAGCTGAACGCTCGCAATAAAGTTAAAGCCACAAATACTTATGCTGATCCCGTTCTTTCATATTCTTTTGGTGTTGTGTATTGGACGAGACGAGAAATTCAGGGCACTGACACCCTCACACGAAGAATCATGTCCGACAATAGATCCCACCACCCTCGCTCTTCCCTTAATCACTTATATTTACTAATCGTAATGGAGGGCGTGGTTTGATTAACGTCGATGCTCTTCATGATAGAATTGTATTGTGCACTTTTGTTCACATGAATTTGTCTGATGATCCTCTCGTGAAGCATGTCCATGGTTTTCTTAAACGAGCCAAGGATGATTTTTTTTATGGTTCTGTACTGAACAGCATAACACCATACTCACTCAGTGTGAAAGACTAAATTTTCAGTTGAGAAAAGTGATATTACCATTGCAGTGCACTTAACACTTGATATTTCACTGCAGTGAACATAACACTTGATATTTCACTGCAGTTAACATAACACTTCATATTTCACTGCAGTGAACATAACTCTTCGGCGGAAATATCGTCATACAAGTGCTATCCTCCCCGCAAATTGTCTCCCTTATCGTTACTGCCTGGGCCGTACACAAACTGTTGACAAGGCAAAATAATTACAAATTTATATCGCTTCTTGCTGTTTGTTCTTCTATTCGAAATGTTTCGTTACAAACTGTAGTAAATTTCTCATTTAACTCGTCATTTCGTAAAGCACTATTTTGTTACTTGACCAGTGTGTATTCCTTCGCTTCGAGCAGCGGTCTCGTAGCTTTCAAGAATACTTTTGTAAATTGATTTTGTATATAATCATCTCCAAATGTATAAAAAGGAATTTTAGTAACCTCATATATGATTATTACTTTCGTTTAAATTTTAAAGATTTTGCTTTTTAAGTAGCAATTAAAAGGGGTATTGAAACCTTCCTTCGTGTTAGGTGGGGAGATTTTACGCTTTAAATTTTACATTTTTAATGTAACTACACAAAAGGTATAGGATAAATAGTATATTCTTTGTGTCTCGTGAAATATCATATATCTCTCATCTCATGACGGGAAAAAGGTGAAAATATCTGCTTTCCCCGTCACTCGAGAGAAACGTGATATTTCACTTGATACATGAAATATACTCTTTAACCTCGACCGCCGTTCGTTACTCCGGACGATTTCATTGGTAACGAGACTAACGGATTAACCGGGTTTCACTATATCGATGTTCTTCACTTACAGCACTCGACTATGTGTTCGCTCACTACTGCGGTATCTACCTCACCTCCACCCTCTACTTCATCATCTACGCTCTCTTCCGGCGCAACCAGCCCAAGGTGTTCCCTCGGGTGATCGTCCCGGGCATAGTGTCAGGCTTGATGTGGGGGGTTGGCACGGCCTCGTGGTTCATCGCTAACAAGTCTCTGTCAGACCCCGTCTCCTTCCCCATCATCTCTACAGTGCCTATGGGAATCTCTCTTCTGATTGGAATAGTGGCCTTCAAGGAGATCAAGGTGAGTTGATTGACCACAGTCAATAACATTCCTGCTGTAACACGGCGGCCTGTACATAATCGAGTCTGGGCCAGACGAACCAATGATCGACAGCAACAACCATGACATTATAATTACTCATGCATAATATAACAGACCCCCTTGATGGTCACGAAGCCTGACCAGCCTATTCTCTTTTTAGTAGATTCTTATGACAAGCTGGGATTACTGGGGGCCCGATCTTCCCCGAAATTCACACGATGCGGGTCGTTTATGTGATTCATGAAGTGAAGATATGCATATAGAAATATATTCACTTGTTATTGATGTTTTTTAATAATGATAAATATTTACTCATTTCTTTCTCAATATTTGGGATGTACATACACTCAGGCATTTATTTCACAATACTTGGGACGTTCATATACACCTACCCATTTATTCCACATTATTTGAGATGTACATAAACATTCACGCATTTATTTACTAATATTTGGGATGTAGATACTCATTCAAACATTTATTTCACAATAGTTTAGATGAACATAATCATCGATACACTTATTTAACAACGTTCGTGGTGTGCATAAACATTCACACATTTCTTTAACGATACTTCGGATGTACATATATTCTCAATTTATTTCACAATACTTGGGATTTATATATACATTCACAAGTTTATTTCACAATGATTGGGGTTTATATAAACATTGATACATTTATATCACAATACTTAGGATGTACATAAACATTCACGCATTTATATCACAATACATGGAATTTATATAATCATTGACACATATATTTCAGAATACTTGGGATTATATACTCATTGAAACATATATACCACAATACTTGAGATTTACATAATCATTAACACGTTTATTTCACAATACATGGGCTTTATATAAACATGCACACATTTATTTAAGCACACTTGGGATTTATATAATCACTGGCACATTTATTACGCAATACTCAGGCTTTATATTAACATCCACAGATTTATTTCACAATACTTGGGCTTTATATGAACATTGATACATTTATATCACAATACTTGGGATGTACATATTAACATTCACACATTAAAATCACAATACCTGGGATCAATAGAATCTTTGACACATTTATTTCACAATACAAAGGCTTTATATAATTCACACATTTATTTCACAATACTTGGGATGTACATAAACATTCTTCCATTTATTTCACAATACTTGAGGTGTACGTAAACATTCTTACAGAATACTTTGGATGAACATTAACATCCATACATTTCTTTCACAGTCTTGTGATGTACATATTAATCATTCACATATTTTGTTCACAGAACTTGTGATGTACATATCACACATAATATACTCAAATCCCAAACTCTCAATGCGACTGTCAGCTGATCGTAAATTCTCCACTACTTAGGGGCACACTGTCTTGTTTCCAGTTGCAAAATCTGGACAAGGTTGTAGATTCTTCAGAGGTGAACAGCTGAACAACGTTAGATATATTTGGGTGGGAGTTCACGAAAGACAGAATTATGTCTTGTAACATTAGGGGTCAGAGGGGGTGTAAAGAGCAGAGGAGGTGATCCCATGGAACTGCACATCCTGATGGGGGGCTACTGGTACTCAATCTTGTAACACTAGGGGACAAGTGAGATGGGGGCTACATGGATGATGTCATAACGTTTAATGACGTTACACTAGTTACGCCGTCATATCATGTCAGTCATGACGTCATATTAACTTCTCAATATGGTTCCAGTACAGGATTTTCCACTATAACTAAAATAGAGTGTTGATGAAAAGACATTAGTACAGTCGTATGCGTATAAATGAAACAACCCAAGAAATCCAAGCAACTCAAACAACAAAAAGAAATAATAAAAAAAACCCCCAAACAATGCAAATACAATCCAAGACTCCAAGACCAATAATATCTTGGCATTTACTTCCAACATTGTAAACACTTCCGCCTTATTTGTTGCCTTTTTAATTACTTTCAAGAGAACCACGAGTGCGAAATCGATCCCGTCGAAGCGCTGGTAAAAATCTGTAACTTATGCAGCATTCATCTGATGGGCACAAGTTTTACAATAAATGAAAGTCGCCCTTTATCATCACAAAACACACATAGTGTGTGTTTATTCAAGTCAAAAAGGACACTGGCCCACAGGACATACATTGTCAATATTAAAACAAAATAGATAGTTACAATATACACGACAGGATTATAACAAAACATATATACATAACAAGAAGCAATTATTGATGAAGTGTAGGATACAGTTTAAAAGCAAAAAATATGTATTTACTTAAATTTAACAGTGTTTGAGGGCATTTGGAATTAATTAGCTTTACAAATGTTGTAACAGAAGGATGTTTATAATAAATAAGTTGAATATAAGATTCCCGGTGTTGAGAGAAGGCTTTGCAGACAAGTAAAAAATGATATTCGTTTTCAATTACATCTATTCCATAACGGCTCCAGTATGAACATAATCTGATTTCTTCATCCAATCCCATTCTTCGTCCAAGTTCAATCATTAAATCGTGGCATCCGCATCTAAATCTAAATGCTTGTCTGTAAGTCCGTAAATTGATATGTGTAAGATAAAGTTCGACATTTAAAACAGATTTATAAGTAGAGTAGGAAGATAGTTTAGAGTTGTCTGTAATTTCTGCTTGGCATTGTTGAATATCTACGTCGATGATACGTTGTTTTATTTCTGATAAGAATACGGATTTATTTCCAGAGTCCTGCATGATCCAAGTGTATCCAAATCCATATCTAAATAAAGTTTCTTTAACATATGACACCCACGATGTAACGTTTACACTGGTCCAGTCCATGTAACATTATGTACGTTTGCTTTGGAAGTCGATTGTTGTCCATTGAGATAAGTTTAGTCCAAAAAGATAACAATTTCATTACTTGCGTCACGAAGACAATATTTCTTCAACAGTCACCAAGAACAGCAGCAGTGCATGCATTTTGAGGGACATAGATAATCTTCTTGAAATATTTTAGCTGAACTGTTTCGATACATTGAATCCGTTGAAATCCCCAAATTTCTGCGCCGTAGGTAAGGATTGGTAATATCATTCTGTCAAATAGGTTTGCAGCAACATAGTACACATAGTAACATATAACCTTAGCGGGGTAAAAAGCCTATATTTGAGACACAACGTCACTATTTTGGCAAGTGCACACGTTGCGATGTTTTAATAAACAGAAGTATAAGTTGCGAAAATACATTGCAGCTACATATCTGCCAGAAAGGCAGTCCTTTGTACGAGTCCGAATATACCATGAGCATGTTTGTGAATCACTATCCAATATTGATGTTTTTTTGTAAAAAAGTAAGCGCAACCAAGCCCTACCGGTGACTCCCATCACAAACACATGCAATACACTTGTTCATCTGCAAAAAGAACACATGAACATAGGCAAGTCAAAAGAGGGAATCTTTCTGCAAGATTCGTATGCCGCTCTTTGAAATGGTTTGTTGTGTGTCTCCAGCATAGATCAATCAACAATGGTACATTCAATGAATTAGATCACGTTCTTAGTTTGACGTGAAATGTCTTAAAACATCTCGAACTGCATACGTTGTCATTATTATCCCATTCCTTGTTTTGTAGGGTTGTCGCAACATCAGCATCGTTGCCGTCGCAATGACGCTCACCATAGTTGGGGCAGTAGTGGCTGGCCTCTCAAAGACGTGATCCCCAGACAGCCACGTCTGATGTTGGGAGGCATGAATACTCAGACTACAACGAATCACGTGATGCCGCCTGAAGGGGCTGTACGCGTTGACAACATTCGGCACACTCTATTACCATTTACACAGTCTCATTAAAATCAGATATTAGTGCTCGGTACCACTATACAAAGATGTAAGGGCATCCTATTCCAGGTCACATCAGGACCCTCTTTCCCGAACTTTGACCTATCAGTGAAATGACCAACAGGAACTCGACCCTAGCCAATCAGAAAGCAGCTCTCTCTTCGGCACTAGTTACAAAATGGCGACTTGCTTTCACGACTATACTTATTTTTCAGGGCTACATATTTTGACAATTTCAAAATTTGAAAACAGAACACTGGAAAATTCTGGAATGTCTAAGGGATGGCAGAGATTGTATAGCAGTATTATATGGCTATGGAAAGTCCCTTCCGTTCCAAATGTTTGTCCTATTACAGCCAGTAAAGGTCGTTCGGAATGTCTCGAGTTCACCTTTTCGAGGTTACATGACTAGAAATTAAGCGATGCTCTGATCGGTTGGCTGAAAGGTCATTTTGATCTGACCAGAACACACTGGGATTTCCTCAGATCTTTGCGTAGCGGCAGCGAGAATGAGTGAGTATGGTTTCACGCCGCTTTTAGCAATATTGAAGCAATATCAGAAATGGACTTCACACATTGTACCCATGTCGGGAATCGATCTCGGGTCTTCGACGTGACGAGCGAACGCTTTAGACACTTGGCTACCCGACCGCCCTGCGGTAGCGAGAACTGAGATCTCAATTTAATGAGACTGCTGTGTTTTTAACCAGACAATGTAAACAGTGGGAAACTTTCATTTAAAATATAATATCGTGGCGCAAAGAAAATGTTGGGCCTCAGAGCAGATTGTTGTTAAATCGTGAGGGAACTATTGTTGAGTCACAAACTGATTGTTATTAAATCGTAAGAGGACTTGTTGCATCACGAAAATATTGATTTTACACCTTGAACAGATTGTTGTTACATCACTATCAGTATGTTGTTAAATCACTATCAGTATGTTGTTAAATCACGAACGGAATGCTGTTAAATCGTAATCAAACGCCGAGACACAATGGACTGTTCAAAGATTCATTGCCTTATATTGTTAGAACATTACTCTAACAGTTTTGAAATCATGATTATGTTTTGTGTATAATACCATATTGTTTTATGTATAATACCTTATTGATTGCGTTAGCGTCAGTGTGATTAACTATTGTTTTCCTTAATATTAGTGTTGCGTTATCCCAGTAATGGAGATCAATTTATATAACACCATGACGTCGGACCATTATGATTAAGAAAGTATACTTTAGCGTAGGATGTTAGCGCCCTTGATCTGCATCTTAACATACAGACGAATGTAAAATGATACTGGTGATGAATTTGTGGTTCAAACGATAATTGTTGAATATGTCAAGTGTGAATAAATATAAGGGATGATACTTTTTGTTACTCTTGATTATGAAGCCGCCCCCTAACTAATCCCCCAAAGGTTTGACTGCATTGAGAGTCTCAAAGAATAGGTGCACGTACTCAGGGAATAACAAATCCTAAAATGCAACGAAAGGCTCCGATCTTGGTAGGTTAGTGGATGTTTTTGTGAGTGAGTGAGTATGGTTATACGCAGTTTTTAGCAATGTTCCACCAGAAATGGGCTTCACACATTGTACCCATGTTGGGAATCGAACAAGGCTACATGTAATTGTTGTGGTGATAAGTGGTACGCGTTAATGAATGAAGTTGCTTTGCTGTGCCTTTGTAAGTGCTGGATAAGCCTTACAAACAAGACCAACAATTGTGAAAGTGTTTTTAAGTTTATTTTTTCAACATAGTCTCCCTGCTTTTTGATACACATCTCATGTTGATAGTGAAGCTTTTCCATTCTAGTCAGGAAGACGTTTTCTAAAGTAACCCCTCAAAACACACACACACACACACACACACACACACACACACACACACACAACCCCCGCCCCCATATTCACGGCAGCCTTGAGGTCATCGTTGTCTTCATAACGCTTTCCACGAAGGTGTTCTTCCAGTTGAGGAAACAGGTGGAAATCACTTGGTGCCAGATCTGGCGAGTATGGAGGGTTAGGTAGCTTGTTGAACCCACATTGTCGCATAGCAGCCTTTGAAAGTCAAGAGACGTGAGAAGAGGCATTGTCAGCAGTCAGCATTCCTCGCTGCTTTTCTTTGACATAATCTCTCAAGCGATGAAGCAAATCAGCATAGTAGGCACCGGTAATCGTCTTTTCACTTTCTAAGTAATCAGCAAGGATCACACCCTTTGCATCCCAGAATACACTGGCCATAACTTTCTTCACTGATCTTGAAGACTTGAATTTCTTTGGTGTCCATGGACTGACGTTTTGACTCCGGATCATAGTGGTGGACCGATGTTTCATCTCCCGTTACTAATTTCTTTGTGCATTCGACGAAATCCTCCTCAATTTTCACACGTTGACTGTCTGGTATTCCGACTAGATCTACAGCCGCAACTATGGCACGCCCGCTTGCTAGACTTTGCTGAGTATGAATAGCTGTTCGACTTACAATTGTATTTGTTTATCTTATTTCATATATGAGATATCAACATTATGTACAGCCTCTTTAACTACGTTGATAAAGCTTTATCATCCAAAACTGGCTCCCACAGGAGATATCGCTTGGATGAGATCATGCGACATCTACACTGTAGATATCGCTGCAATGAAATTGCATCACAATGCTTTGCAGACTATTGTGACGTGTTGATATGTTTGATATCAAAAGTCACACGGGTGAGTTTCTCTATTTAACTACTTTTTGTACTTTCAATGCTGCTTCTGATTTTCCGCTGTTGAGTGATTGTGGTGTTGAAAACTGAATGAATATTATACACACTAAACACGCATGGTTTATTTTGAAGTTTATTTCAGGACCAACGTTATTGATGATATACACACTTCAAAAAAAGAATCGCACAGGTGTTTTGAGAATTCCAATTATCCCCCCCCCCCCCCCCCAGCAATCGTCATAAAGACAATTCTTATGTTTGATTGCCGTTAATCATGTCATATTTGTTGTACATTGCGTGCAAACACATCTCAAAATGTTTTTTGTAAACGTTTATCAGCAAAAATGCAAAGGATGCACGGAAATTGCTTTCAGAAAAAGTTTTCAGCACAATGCACGTGCAAAATGTTGGAAACAAGAGTAGAGACACTGACTTTAAAAGACCGTACAAAATTCATCAGTTCATTACGAATTTTTTGACGTGAACGGAGATCGAAAATGTCAAGATTAACTGCAGCTGACCGAAATATCGCCATTAGACGTTTGGAAGCAGGGGGTCCCAGTCTGCCGTTGCAAGACACTTCAACGTTCACCAAAGCACCATATATCGACTATGGGATCGATATACCCGCATTATTTCGACTCAAGATCATCCCAGAAGTGGAAGACCAAGAGTGACCACCTGCTCAGGATCGGTACATCCTGTTGCATCACCTTTGGAATCGATTTGCTACAGCAAAGGACACTGCAGGACAAGTGCCTGGTATGCGAAGAATTTCCGACCAAACCATCTGAAATCGACTGACGGAAGTGGGAATTCGACCGAGACGACCAAAATTTGGACCTGTCTTGCGACGTCTACACCGTCAACAACGTGTCCAGTGGTGCAACAGAGTACAGGCATGGGATCTCAGGAACTGGCGACGGGTTTGGTTCAGCGATGAGTCACGTTTTCTTCTTCAACGACGGGATGGATCTGTGTCGACGACGTCGACATGAACGTTTTGCGCCGAAATCCGTTCGACAGGTGGACCAATTTGGTGGAGGGAGTGTCATGGTGTGGGGAGCCATATCCTACACGGGTAGATCACAGTTAGTGGTTACAGTCTTACAGCAAACCGATACATGGACCAAATTCTGCATCCTCACCTCCTCCCAACTTTGGACCGCCAGAGGGAGCTGTTCCAACATGACAACGCTCGGCCCCACACAACACGTGCAACAGTTAATTTCCTTGTTAATCAGAACATCAATGTCCTTCCATGGTCGTCCAAATCGCCTGATCTCAACCCGATTGAACATTTGTAGGACGAACTTGATCGACGCGTCCCTCAACGTCACCAGCGTCCCCACAAACTGGCACAACTCGCCAACGCCGAACAGGAGGAATGGCAAAGAAATCACCACGAAAAAATCCGACGACTTGTGCAATCTGTACCAAGGAGGTGACGAGCAGTGACGGCTGCAAGAGGTGGTGTGACCAGGTACTGACAATGACGCCCCCTTGTGGCTACACATATGCAATGATGATAACATCAAATTATCAACTAGTCTAAATCGACTAAAGTTTTGACTTTGACTGAACCAGGAAATACTGGTTGATCAGTGGAAGGTTGGTTATCCACGGAATACTAGAAAAAACAGAGTATTGGAATCACTAGTTACTAAGTGCCTACTCAATCACGGGGAGGTTGGTTATCCACATATAATTAGCAAAAATAGTTTCACAAACACCCTAGTAACTATGTTTAATTCAGTACAGCCAGACAAAGTCAGAATATGGATCGACATAGCCCCGAACACACTTACTGACGAAACTTGAGTTTCGACCATGACCACTCCAGTAGCGAAGTCTGAAGGGTGATGATACGAGATCTAGAAAGTCTTTAAATACATTGCGCGCGGACGTCGGAGGTTACATCCGCTCCTGGACCGCCGGGGAATACAACTGACGGGGGCGCCTAGCTAACGTGTGCTTCTAAAATGTTGGGGAAAACACGATGAGAAAACGAACTACTATCTCTACACTGGATAGGCAGCAAAATGAAGCGCTAAACATAAGGTATCCAACGGTATCATGAACTTAAATACATGAGAAATATCGGAATATAGATATAAATTCACCTAAGTTTGCAAATCATAATTACAAAAACATTTTCAATACAAGAATATGGAAGCAAACATGTAAGAGATAACATGTATCCAGTCAAAACATCATTTGCGAGTGTCATTAGAACACAAGAGAATGAAATAGTCGGGCCATTAATTCTCTAACACAAAACGATCTGACTCTATAAGATAGCGAGCAGTGATGGAAATAAAGTCGAGAACAAAGCGGCACAAGACCGTGACATGGGTAACCACGAACAACGGTGACAATGTGCAAATGTTATTTTTCATAAGTTGGAAGAGGCTTGATGAAATTGTAACTCGGTCAGTTGGTGCATGTTTTGCTGTTGACAAGGGACTTTGGGACAAGGGAGTAGCATGTTTATCAAACAGTATAGACTGGCTGGCGTCTGGACTACTCAGTGTTATGTAATCAACTTTATGAGAGTGTCTGGTTTGTGAACTTTCCTGATTAGACTATTGACACTCTGATATGAAGAAACATGATATGAGGGCTTATTCATTTAATCACGCACTTGTTGGTTTGACAACGTGTGGAAGCATCAAAAAGTGATTATGTTTGTTTATTGTTGGTCTGCAACTCTCATTTGATTGGATGACGTTGAAAATCAAGGTCACTTGGTTTTAATAGACAGCCCCAAAGGGTTGTGTACACAATATATTGAACATCTGTAATTTGAGTTTGATGAAACTATCTATACATCTCGTCAACTTTGTTATCAATGTAGCCTTATATACGGGACTTTCTGGTTCAATGTTGTACAGCATTGAACACGTATTTTCCCCAACCGGAAGTGACGTGTTAGGTCTACTGTCACCTGATGTAGTGTAGTCTAAATGATTCAAGATGCATGTTGCTGATTGAAAGTTTGGGGCATTCAAGGAAATGTGCGGTTTGGGATGCCTCTGCTTCTGCAAACACCTTCTTGTTATGATTCATCCATGCATCCCCTCAAGAGGCGGAGTCTTGGTCGGATCAAATTTTGGGTTACCTAACCAAACCTGATAAAACCAATGAAATCATTTATGTCATTGAATTTTGTGTCCCTTTTGACACTTATGTGCTTGACAAGAATCAGGATAAACATGGCAAATTTGCGGACTTCAATTTCGAAATGTGACCCTTGCATCCCAAGTACCAAGTTGTCTGACACCCGGTGCCTGAGGTGACAATCTGTGCAATGCAGAAGGCTGCAGTGTTGGGGAGTCTTCACATTCGCCGAAAAGTTCTCGATGGGTTTGACAAGGCAGCACTTCCTGGGAGAAGTCCCATTCACTGTCTGGTCAGCGCGTAGTGGGGGGAAATGGCCTCCATTTGACGATGAGCCTAATAAGCCTGACTGTGCTAAGATCACCCAAACCCTCTTTGCAGCATTTTTTATTTTAATCTGTTAATAATAATACAATATTTACATGGTGTCTTACAGACCGTGTGTCATCATACTGCGCTTCCTTTGACATTCTTCACATGGAGCAGAAAGGGATGTTAGGATTGTTATGATCCATTGCTGGTTTAAATAAACGATCCTTGAAGAGGCTAAAACTTTCCACCGTATAGACTACAGAAAAGCTAATGATTCTGTTTTTAATGAATTGCTGGTCAACTCAGCTTGAGATGTATTCACGGGGGCAGGTGGTGACTTCGGAACCCATGTATATTGGAACAAGAATATTTCTGGACGATTCTTTCAGTCCTTTGCTTTTCTGTTTGTCCCTAATCATTTAAGTCTTTTGCATAGCAAAGAGGAAGGTTATCATCCTTGACCTGCCAAGTACAGATCTCAACACCTCTTACCCACCTCCTTTACATGGATGACCTTGCATGTAAAGAAAATGCACACTAATGAACAGGTTCTCCTTGTTGTGTCCTTTTTCTTATGATATTGGCATGTCCTTTGGTCTCGACAAATGCAATAGTCGACATCTGAAACGTGGCAAGATGGACTTAAAAGAGGGAGGGTCAGTCAGTTTGGGGAGGAGAATAACAACAACAATATAGTTTGTTTTTGTGTCATATGTACATTTGATTATACACCCTTTGTTTCCATTTTTAAGATACTTTATACCTGGCCATTTTGTAAATCACATGCTATAAATACGTTATAGAATATGCACAGATCATTTAATATTGTGAACCAGCGTCAGTCCGAAAACCCTGACCGCGAACCTCTAGATATAATTGATTTACCTTCGTACCGACCTATTATTCGTAATCTGGAAATATGTTTTGTTTGTAATTTCACGGGGATGGAACAATCCAGATTAACAGGTGTTCTGGTGATCACCTGGCTTCTTGATACAACGTAACCATTCTGTTGGGGATATAGATCCTCTTGGGCAAAATTGACAACAGTAAAAAAAATCGAAGCTATCTGGTCTTATCTATAATATCGTTCATAGTATTGCTAAAGATAACATAAAAAGTCAGCCAAACAAATGGATTTCTTGCATTTGTGACAATCTTATTACGACAGGCAATAATAACATTTGGACTGACAAAGTCTAACCAGACAGTAATTGGCTTCATCATAAAATAAAGAAAACGCTTTCAGACCTATATAATAAAAATTTGAACTCTGACCGAGAAACATCGAGTAAAATCGGATTCTCCATGACAATCAAAGAAAATAGTGACATTGAATTTTATCTACAATATTTATCTAACAAATGTAAAACTAGTTTAGGCTTTCTTGTCAGCTCTTATGAGCTCTACCTGTTCAAACAGGTACATAGCAGAACATCCTCTCATGGAAAGAAATTTTTCATAATGTCCATCAAATGATACTGCAGATGAACACCACCATTTGTTTAATTGCGTGTTATTTATTGATTCAAGAAGAAGGTTTTTATCTCCTTATTACATTAATCGACCATCAGTTTTCAAAATGACCAAGTTCTTTCAATGTAAAAACATATCTTCTCCAAGTAAACTGTCTCATTCCTGGTGCCACATGCTTTATACATTTAAATAGAACTATTGTATATTGTGCCACAATGTCACTATTTAATTTTGTAGACCTCTGTAAACTCCTCTTTGTGCTATGTTCATAGCCTTGAGTGAATAAAGTTCTGTTCTGTTCTGGGGGAAGAATGTCTCGGAAGAGAACGTATAGTTTTCCAAAATAATTTCAGACTGTGAAAGTGCCATTCAGTCGGACTAGCCGTGTCAATTTAAGATCATATTTGAACTTATTAAAGAAGTTTTATACACATTTCTCAGTTTACAGCAGCGCTTTTGAGTGCCTTTCTGGACTCAGATCTTACCTCACTAGCTACACGCCATATTCAACTTTGTTTAATCATGTTCAGGTGCACCATATTCATACCATGTCAAATATGTAATCCCCTCCCCTACACAAGCATTAATTTTATCCATCAAAGAATTTGCATGAATATGCAAGGACCCTCTCAGTGTTGTGGTAAAACTAACTTTCCTTCGATTCCTTCCATGAAAATCCACTAGAGACATAGTTCTCACGGTCTAAACTATGTATGGCAAGCTTACTGAAAGAAAGCTGCAGAATAACTTCAGAGCAAAATGGTTTGAATCTAATCGATCACTAACATTCAATATATCTACATATTGGAAAAAAATCAACAGATGCAATGTAATAATCAGCAACACTGGAACCATCATCTCCAAGAAACGTAAACTCTCCCATTTAATATAAACAAACAGACAAAGCATAGAATCAACAAGATGCGTCCGAATTATTGATAGTACTATCGTGAGACATACGCTGTTCAACAGGGGCATTGTCTGCATCAACGTATAAATCATCATGTCCAAAGACTTCATTAACCTCATAAATGGGGACACTTTCGTTGTCTGTGTCCATCCAAAGGGACCTCCACGTATGTTACATTGGATATCAGATTCAGTACAGAATAGATCTTCAACATCCCATGCTTGTCGTAAAAGGGTATGGGTGGTGAGACCCACTGACTTGGTTAATGTCATCGTATCCCAATTGCGAAGATCGATGCTCCTGATATCTGGTCCAGACTCGAGTCAAGTTTCTACCTTTATCTTACTACTTTTGTTGTTCTTACAGGTACATAATGTTCTCTGCTTCATAGCATTTATTCACCTGAATATACTCCGAAACGTTGTGTCCCTCATGATAAAGAAGTTGACGTCCATAAATTCTCTTCCTTATGTGTAACACTTCTAAATGCCAAAAACAAGACATAATATAGTTGTCTTTTTCGATGAATAAACATATTACAAATGAAAGGAAATTACGTCCATATACCATAAGCCCCTGGTCCAATGGCACAGATTAAAAAACTTTATCTTAAATAGAATATTTATACATGTAAGATATGAATACAAACCAAAACATTGCACAATGAATTTTGACAGGCTTCTGTCTGTTCACCAGTGGGAATGTAGGCGTTTAGTTCGCAAGGAGACTTAGACTGTCTTCGCCTGTTGTGGGCATATGGGAACTATGCAACAAATTCAGAGGTATTTTTACAGAACTTTTACATATGCACAGCTATAATATACTAAGTTAAGACTTATTGGCTGAAATATCTTAGAAATCTGTACCAACACGTGCTGCAGAATTGGGGCCGCATTAATCAATGCCTGTTCCTCAGGGTCTACTGGAATCACTACCGATCAGCAGAATGTGTGCAGACTCTCCGTTCAGCGTCACATAAACAGTGCTCATCGGCATATTGGCCTTGCTGCTATTGTGTACTGATAACATGGACACTCATATCTATATCTCGTAACCTCGCGACATGTCCTTGGGTAACTCCACCAGATTGTATGGTTACCCCTCAACTGAATAATGCACTGCTCTACAAAACTCCAAAGTGAACTAAAACTTGGATTTTACATTCGACAGACAGGTCGCACTGGGATAGTCGTATGAATAGATTTCCTTGTGAAACGACAATTTTAGGTAAGTGTATGTGAGTGTGTGTGTGTGTGTGAGAGAGAGAGAAAGAGAGAGAGAGAGAGAGAGAGATTGATTATCTAATTATCTGATTATCATACACATTAGGTATGTATGTGCGTGTGTGTGCGTATGCGTGTGTGTGTGCGTGACTGCGTGTACGGGCGTGCACGGGCGTGCAATCTTAGGTGAGGGTGAGTAACCTCGATGTACATAGTTAGGCCCCTTAGTTGTGCTTGGATCTGTAAATTGTAGGGTTTCAAGCAACATATTTGCTCTTATGATACTTCTGTTTTGTAAACACCATACCCGTGCTGGCGGCTTTCACCAAAGTCGCGAGACGCCTCAAACTTGCATCAGTTCGGGCTTTCCACCTACATTAAGCTGACACATCCTGATTAAAACCGAAATACTGTTTAGATCATAAAACCTAGCTAGCTCAACAAAACTATCCGACATACTGGAAAATGCATTTTGTCACGATCGAATAGAGATTTCTCAATGCTGTTGTGTTCTATAAAAGTGTACAGCGACCAGACGCCAAAACATCAACTCGGTTTTCTTTTCTGTTTCATAACTTTTGACAAAAATAAACATCGGACTCAATAAGAACGCTGTTGTTTCAAACCATAATCACTCCTACTGTGGGTCACAATGGTCACTGCGTCGTATGACCTTGAATTGACATGATATATAGAGGATATTTCATGTGTCGAGTGAAATATCATGTTTCTTTCATCGAGTGACTGGGGAAAAGGAGATATGTTTTAAATATATACATCTTTTTCTCCAATCACGAGATGAGATAAACATGATATTTAATGAGACACATGGAATATCTTATTTATTATATACTTTGTGTGTAGTTGTCTACCGGAAAATCTCATTATTTTATAACAAATGTAAAATTTGAAACGTAAATTCTCCCTACATAACACACAGGGACGGTTCACCATCCCTTGTATTTGCGACTTAAAAAGTAGTTTGGTGTTTGCAAAATCTTAAAAAAAATATAAACACAAAAAATACTTAGGGTCACGAAAATTATTTATCATGCATTTAGATATGATTATATACAAAATCAACTTAACAAAAATATTCTTGTAAACTAGGTGACGTGAGGTGAAATGGGGTTTAACATCGCGTCCAAGATTATTGCACTTATATAGCAACGTGCATGCACGTGTGTGTCTGTGGCTGCTTGTACTAGTCCGGACTGATGCCGATTTATAGTGCTAGCTCACTGAGACTCCATGCCGCAGTTTAACATGAATACCCCACTCAGACACAGTATACTGACTACGAGCCGACCAGTCCTCGTTTTAGGCCCTTCATGCCGAGCGCCAGACAGGGTAACAACAAGTACCATCTTTTAACATCTTTTGGTATGACGCAGCTGGGGGTCGAACCCCGGACCTTCCGCTCTCCGGGCGGACGCTCTACCACTAGACCACAGAGGCGTTCTTGAAAACTTAGGAGACCGCTGTTGGAAGCGAAAGAATACACGCTGGTCAAGTAAAAAAAATGGCACTTTGCGAAACGAACAATCTCGATTGACAAGTTTAATGCGAATTTTACAGTTTATAACGAAAACTTTTCAAACCTTAACAAACGGCAAGAAGTGATATTTATTTAAATAACCATTTGTCATTATTTTGCCTGTGAAACTTACTTAAAAAGGACGTCAACAGTTTGTGTATTGGCTTGACACCTACGATAAAGGGAGACAACTTAAGTGGAATTTACTCTTGCATGACGATAGTTCCGTCAAATTGTTATGTTCACTGCAGTGAAAATATCACTTTTCTCAACTTCAGAAAACACAGTCTTTCACACTGAAGTATATTATTATATGCTCATAACTATTATCAATTGTTATCGCATTATCGACTGTATTTTTGGGTCATATACCATGCCTCCCGCCTTAGGCCCATGTGTTCTACCTAATATTTCCCTGGGCCCCGCTCCACGAAGCAATCTTAGCAAAGGTTATCGTAACTCCCATACTTTAGCACTGGCAAACTCAATGCAGATGGCGGGAAACAAAAAGTGCCGTTTGCTTACAAGGAATTGTATGAAAACTATATTTAAACACCCTAATTTAATGGCATGCTGATGAAAACCGTATACTGAGTGTACCATCAGTTTAAGATAGTTTCATAACGACTTTGTAAACCAATTTTAATGCAGTCATTTAACTAATGAAACATTAACAATGTAATGAACCATTGGGGTTTCGTGAACCAATTAGTTAATGATGGTTTAAAACAACCAGGTCCAAACAAAAGACAAAGCTCATCTTACAACCGCCAGTACACCATAAACTGAACGTCAGAAGTGATGCATTTGGCATTTGGTACTTTCAAACTTTCGAGTCGAGGGAACTGCTTTTTCAATCTACATCCAGCTCAACTCAATGCAGATGATATCAAACAGCTGACAAGGAAGTGCCTGAAAACAACAGTGGAATATCCTAATTTTATCACACGTTGATGTAAAACACATGCTTAAAGTACCACTGGTTAATGAAAGTTTAAGGACCTGCCGCCATTAACTAATAAAACACTTGGACGAACCATTCGTGTTCAATGTTCCCATTAGTTAATGGAGGTTTGATGTATCCGGGTCCAGACAAAATACGGTACAACGACGTTTCTCGCTTGACAACGTATGTAACGTGTGCATCTTGTGGCATTCTGTCACCTCTCGCTTATTTCCGTAACCTAAAAGAAGACGAGTTGATCACGAAGGAGCCCCGTGGGTTTCTGCTCCACACATTGCTTGAATGGCAGGTAATGTTCACACGTGGAATATGATGTATTTGTCTATCCATGAGTTATATACGACCTCCTTTCAATAACTCACTGAAGGCTGACACGTATCACAACTACAGGGACAGAGCAAACATGTATTCACAGGTGATTGAAAAACATAGACAGACAAACAGTATTAGACCACTGGCCCAAAATACAATCATACAAAAGTTTTCCTGCATGAGCACATTATAATATTTAACTCTGAAAGAGATTGACTTAAGTAATGTGTACACAAAAATGACAATGATTTGCTCCTAGGGTAATGTGTTCCAATACAAAAGGAAATTTAATACTGAATGTTTACTCCTCTCGGAGCAAATTGTGAAGGAATGTTTCAAAGTTTCTCAGATAGATGTAAGATTTTCCACAAAGGGGTCAGACATAAAATTATTCAGATAAAAAGATTCCCATCAAATAAAAAAGACAATGTCCTTATAAATGTATGATGATTTTACTAAACAACAGGACATAGTACCAAACCACAAGAGCTTAAAGGTGTAGTTTATAAAATTGACTGCAACTACGGACAATCCTACGTAGGTGAAACATGCCGCCCCGTCAACACCAGAATCAAAGAGCACAAAACCTCAACCATCAAATCAGACAGCAAATCAGCCATCTCAGACCATATCATCAACTGCCCCAATCACAACATCAACTGGGAAACGTCCAAATCCTCCATGACTTCACTGAAAGAAAACTAACAGAAGCAGTCCACATTCGCAGGCCATCAATCAACAGAGATCAAGGCTATTTCATCCCACCCGCCTACTATGAACTCATTGACTTCCCATACTCACCACACCTATGTAAACTCATCCTGTATAAATTGCTTCATGTCTCATTGGCTTCCACCTACGTTTTCTCTGTCCATCTTATTCTATACAATGTTCCTCATTCAGTCTTGCTCGACAACGGTATAAGGATCTATTCCTAAAGTTGCTTTCCATAAATTGTGTCTACTTTGTCCCTTAGTTGTGCTTGGATCTTCAAATTGTGGATTCCAACAAAAGACTTGCTTTGATGATCCTTTTATTTTGTAAGCACCATACTCGTGGCTTTAACCAAAATCGCGAACGTCTAAAACGTGCATCACCACGGCTTTCCATCTACATTAAGCTGATACCTCCTGATTTAACAGAAATACTGATTAGACCATAAAACCTAGCCAGCTCAGCTTTACTGTCCGACTTCTTGATTGAAAATACATTTTGTCAAAAGTTACATGATCTAGTTGAGATGCAAGACTTGATTTCTGTTTCATAACTTTATAAGTCTCTATAAGAACGCCACTCTTTTAAACTCAACTCTTTTATACTCACAGTGTCGTATGACCTTACCTACAAATGATGTAACCTGGTAGTATATTATCATGACGCGTATTAATCGTTATCGCAGACTGTATATGTGGGTAATAACCCACGCCTACCGCCTGAGACCCATGTGTTCCACCTCATATTGCCCTGTACTTACCAAGGCACGTTGTGTACACAGGACACTGAGTGTTTGGTCGGATTGTAAACTGCACGTTCCACCTTCATCGCCATCTTTTTTATTGAACTGTACAGGTACTCAGTAATGTGGACATCGTTAATACTGCATTGATGCCTTTGAAAGGCTTGTGTCTGTATACGACGATGACAATCAATATTAACAAGACCTCTCCTTGTACTGTCCAGAGTGTGTCCAGAAATTCTTCGATAATGCCTGTGCTAATATAAAAGAAAAATAAACAGTTTGGATGACAGCTGCCATCGGGTTGTGACGTTCTTTTATACATAGCTATTGGAAGTACTTTGCATGTATTGTTACTGTTTGTGGGCAATTGGAACATTGTCTTTGTTCCATAGTATTCGATCTGTTTAAAAGACGGTCGTACAATATTTATGTTACATGAATGGTTATTTCATATTTGGCCATGCACATTTAAACATACTGTTTGGATTAAACTTGTCCGCCCTTGGGCATGGTTATCTGTTATGTTGCGTTAATTACATATAGAGATATTTGATTACCTTTGTATTATACATTGTCGTGTTTGCTACATAAAATGTGTTTTCACCAAGGCCACGTTTCAAATTGTCCGGCATGTTGGAAGCCTCTAAAACGCTCTGCACTATTGAATATAGCGTATGTTTCTACGATATGGTAGAGCTCACAATCTCTGCATACATCATATGTCAGTAAATCACTATGCAACAGACATGATATAGATCCTGATTTGCACCTGCTGTGTGTAAAGGTCAAGCTTACTTATCACGATTCCCTCCAGTTTAACCGGGACAAGCTCATTTTGACTGTACCCTTTTCCTTTAATCAATTAGTTATTGAGGGTTTCGTTGAGGTAATATCAGGAAATATAGTAATAGTCACTTTTGGGACCATTGGTGTTTTCTTGCCATGCAATTTAAATTATCAGCAATGTAATGTAATAGGCAGGGCCTGAGCCTTGTGAGTGAGTGAATGAGTGAGTTGGCGTCACATTGTCAATATTTCAGCCATGTCGTGACAAGACAAAATTTGACATTAATCATATATATTTAAACTGTATACAATTCTATCGTCGAAGGACAGTAAAATGACCAGAAAATGACAGATTTATGTCAAAATAGTTTGAGAGCATGAAAAAATAAATAAGCATTCAACAACACAATGTAAAAATGGGCTATAGATCACCAGCAACTGAAGCTAGATGAGCAACTGAGCCTTGTGGAACACCCGGTTGCAGACGCAACACAAAAGCGAGCCCTTTGTGTCACACTCGATCCAAGCGTTAAATATGTCACAGAAAACCACACAAATGTTTTTGTTTTTGAATGCTTCCTACACGCGTGTATTTCACCCAAACCTGTTTCATATCACGAGGGCTAAAGCATGGCAAAACATGATGGTACAAGTATCGTTAATTCAGTTATGGTTTACAGAATAAGGTCAACCATTCTTGAAGGATGGAGAACACGACTACCCCGTGGTCCAATGGCACAGACGTGGACGACATTCCCCAGTATGTCGGCTTCATCTGCTGTGGGATAGCGTCCATCTTGTTCGGCACCGAATTCGTACCAGTCAAGAAGTTCGAGACTGGTGATGGTAAGGGGTGGGTGATGAGGACGGATGGGTGATGGTAAACAGATGGGTAGTGAGGGCGGATGGATGATAGTAAGTAGTAATGTGGTGAGGATGAGTGGGTGGTGGTAAGCGGGTGGATGGTGAGGACAGATGGGTTATAGTAAGTAGTAATGTGGTGAGGACGGGTGGATGGATGTAACCGAATTGGCAGTGAGGACAGCTGATGGTAAGCTGTTGGTGTATCAACTTGGCCTAGTTCAGAAGCATTACAGCTAATTCAGTGGTTTATTCTTTAACTGATGACATCCTATTTTATTATTTCAGGAATGTTTTTCCAGTGGGTGTTTAGTAATTCCATCATCATCTCGGCTATAGTGATACAGACGATACGGCTGTCACGATTTTACCCCTTCGTCATGGTCGGGGGCATCTTATGGGCTACAGGTGAGTGATGTCCCTAGGCTTACATGCCCCCCTCTCTTCGTCATGGTCGGGGGCATCTTATGGGCTACAGGTGAGTGATGTCCCCAGGCTTAAACATGCCCCCCTCTCTTCGTCATGGTCGGGGGCATGTTATGGACCACAGGTGCGTGATGTCCCCAGGCCTACATGCCCCCTATCTTCGTCATGGTCGGGGGCATGTTATGGACCACAGGTGAGTGATGTCCCCAGGCTTACATGTCCCCTCTCTTCGTCATGGTCGGGGGCATGTTATTGACCACAGGTGCGTGATGTCCCCAGGCTTACATGCCCCCTCTCTTCGTCATGGTCGAGGGCATGTTATGGGCTACAGGTGAGTGATGTCCCAGGCTTTCATGCCCCCTCTCTTCGTCATGATCGGGGGCATCTTATGGGCTACAGGTGAGTGATGTCACCAGGCTGAAATGCCCCCTCTCTTCGTCATGGTCGGAAGCGAAAGTTTGACGATCATTTTGACGGAATCAATCGTACAGCCTGTAACTGTCGTTCGGAATGCCTCGTGTTAACCTTTTGGAGGTTGCACTATTATTCATTTCCGCGATCTTGTTCGCGACGCTCGGATAAAAGGTCGATCGGACGTGACCTGCGATGGGATGTCCTGAGATCTATGTGTAGCGGAAGCGAGGATGAATATATGATTTTAATGAGACTGAGCTACATGTATCATTTATGCCAAAGCATACATTGCTGGAAATAATTGTTAGGCGAACATGTACATCGGGTATGATTGGATACTAAGTTCTGCCAAATATATACAGGGTATACTAGAACCGCGTACTACATACATTTCTATACCTGTCATATCTGGGCTAAATGGCGTATTCCAGCAGTTGTATCCGTAATTTCAAAATGACTTACTTTTTTGCATAATGGTCAGTACTCTTAAATACATATTCTGCCAAACCCAATGGCGGTGGGGTAAGCTAGTGGTAACAGTTTGGGCCCATTGCGCGAAAGAACCGGATTTACTTCCCATATTAAATGATTTAATTGTCAATGCAAGAGAATAATCAATCTAGATTATCGCTGAAACAGAATGAAACAATGATGGCATCAGGTGTTCTCGAAGCCCATTGCTGGTGTCCCATTGCTGTGATGTTGCAAAAGGCGACGTGAAACTCTACTCACGCCCTCTCTTCCGCCAGGAAACATCTGTGTCGTCCCCATCGTGAAGACCATCGGCCTTGGTCTCGGTCTCTGTGTCTGGAGCTCTGTGCAGTTGCTCGTCGGCTGGGCCAATGGCAGGTGTGTTGTATCTGGAATGGTGCGTCTTGCCTGGTACATTTACATTAAATGCTATTTGATCGATAATTACCACGGGTGGCTCAGTGACCAAAGGCGACGACTCTTGTGCAGAGATGGGTAGGTTAGCAAGCTTCTGGTAAGACATCCCAAGCTGGCTTGTACACTGTACCCGTGCTCGTGGGATTCACCAGAATGGTACGCGTCTAATGCCGTCGTCACTTTGAGCTTCACTCCCACAGGATACACCTATAAAACTATATTCAAAACAGTTTTAAACTAGGTGTTGATTAATCGGTATGTTTAAACGGTCATAGCTATCGGTATATAATTAAAACATTCAGATGAACATGTTGCAGGTTCGGGCTGTTGGGCGTCGAAGCAGAGATCCCCAACAACCTCGTCATGAACTACGTCGGGGTGTCTATCTCTCTCGTCAGGTAAAGCAGGCAACTTGTCTGTATCTACTGCGTGTATAATATATGTATCTAACTTTTCTATAGTGAAGCATATCTAAATGCATTTATTAATTTATTATAACTGTGATAATAGAAAAGTGGCAACTCGTGATGTAAATTTATCTTTGGGTGTGGCGTGTGGTGCGGTGCGGTGCGGTGCGGTGCGGTGCGTGGCGTGGCGTGGCGTGGCGTGGCGTGGCGTGGCGTGGCGTGGCATGGCGTTGCGTGGTGTGGCGTGGCGAGATGTAATGGTTGGAATCCAGGCAAAGCCAGGGAGTAGGTAGATAGTCAATGGCATGGCGTGGCGTTGCTGTGGTGTGACGGAGTGTAAATAAAGCGACAAAAACCTTTTCGTATCCAATGGAAATCTCTGCTTAAAGCAGAGTCGATTGTACTATAGTCGACTATAACATGGGCATGTGTTAATGAATCACAATCAAAATGATACCAGGTGAGCGTATCCTACCCCATCGGTGGCACCCGTCGTTAACACATGCAAAGTCAAGTCAATTGTTCACAAAAAATTACGAGAACCTATGGTAAACCGCGGTCTTGTGGAAGGCAGGATGGTTGTATTGGTTGGATGGAGATGACGAAGCAAGAGATGGAGATGAGTGTTAAGTGTTGGTGTTGGTGAGTGTGAGTGTCGATATGGGGGTAGGGTAGGGTGTTGGTGTGGTTGTGTACTCTAGAGATGCAGGTGTATTTGGGGACATGAATAGGTGTCGAGTGTCGGGCAGTAATCGGAGTGTTGGCGTCGTTTGAGGTGTAATTGAAATAGTAAGCAGCTGTACACTATATATACATCACTGTGGTGGGAACAAACCTGTCAATGCTGCTGTTGTAATAATAACATTTTTCTCTGCAGTACAGTGCTGTACGCTTTTGTCAAGCCAGATATTAAACCTATCACCATGGACATAACAATACCAGCACCTGTCGCTGAGTGGGCGGACAGTAAGGTCAGTACATTTGTCGCAGTGAGTGAGTGAGTATGGTTTAGTAATATTCCATCAATATTATGGCGGAGGACACCAGAAATTGGCTTCTCAAATTGTACCCATGTGGGGAATCAAAACGGGGCCTTTGGCGTGACGAGTAAACGGTGTTCCCACTATGATACCGCCCGGCCCCAGGTCTTATACATCTGTTACGATACTGCTCCTGTACGATGGATGGAAAAGTAAAGGGGACTTATCCTCTAAACCACATTACTTTCCCCATGCACCCCCCTATGATTGTTGTAAAAGGCGACTTAATCGATGGTCGGGTTTGATGATTTTGATGTGTGTATGCCTTCGTATCCCAATCGATTATTATCGATGCTATTCATTGGAATGTCTGGTTGAGAATCGACTTTTCGCAGACCACTTCATTTTGCATGAACATTGCTGAATGCGGCATTAGACAACAAAAGAAAACGAATGCCTAATGAAACCACACTGATACGTTACAGCCAATGGTGTGTTGTCGTCCATGATAGGCCAATCAAAACTATTGCATTACTCTTACGACTGTTTCGGTTTTGTGGTTCCCTTTTAGCTTTTCAAAATAATCCATGTTGCCTCTTTAAATAAATATCTACTTCGAACAAAACATAAATTACGAAATGATATGTGTCTCCAAATTTCACGTCCTTCAGGGGATCCGAATGGCTCAGCCCAAAGTCGTTGAACTGAATGACATGGAAGGAAATCCACCCGTGAAACCGTCCCCCGGAGAGTTATTTCTAGAAAGATGGTCGCCTGCCAAGAAGAAGATCATGTATGTTGAATATTTCCTTTTCAAAACCGTGCACAGTTATAACATATGTATCAGTTTCAAAATATTCAAATTATGATTAATGTTTTACCTGATATTGACGAACCTTTAATTGCGTTCCGTGATGAAAAATGGGTGTCGAACTTTAAATAAGGGTAAATTGCGTACTTGGATTATCAATTCGCAGGACAACATTCAGCTCCCATCTGGATTAATAGGGATAACGCTATAACATTTTGATCATGTGCGGTATGTTTTGCCATGTTTCAGTGGGATAATACTCTCTGCGTTTTCCGGGGTGATGTACGCAGTTCAGTTCATCCCGGCCAGATACACACAGGAGCATGACAACGGCGCCAGTCAGAACTGTGAGGATACCACATGATAAATTCATTGGCATTATTTCTGTTACTCTCACTACGGACTGTTCTTTGCATGACATTAACTGTTGTGTGGATGCTCCTGATCCAACACTGGAGGAACTCTGTAAGTTTCCAAAGGCGTTGAACCAAAAAGGGGAAATAATTCAAATCCTCGAAAGAAAAAACGGTTCAATATCACCTAAATGAAACAAGGCAAGATATATCATTGATAGAACTCTCTTTGAAATTACGTTCCTGAGGGAACAATAGGCGCAAAATCAATTTGAACTAAAATCAAAATACACCTCCACAAGACAGCAAATGAGAAATTCTAACAAATTCCCGATTCTCTGAAGGCAAAGCTACAGATTGGACAGGAAGAAAAAGAAGTGGGACAAGAAACATAGATTCATAAAACAAAATAAACTGTTCAAATCTAACAAAAAGCAATTTTACAGAAAATTAAATGCAGCAAGTGGCAGTGATGAGAAAAAGACCCACCATGGATTCCAATAAAAGGTTTTGGAAACAGTTGTGGTCTATACATAAAACAAATAAGGTCACCATTGGTGTGTTTCATTACACCTGATCGCCTGAAAAAAAGTATTTAAGAAGTCCAACTCTACTACGGCGCCAGGGCCAGATGGTATTCGAAACCGGTATTGGAAACTGTTTCCTTGTATCAAAACTGCTTAAATTCTCTTTTGGTTTTGGGATGTCCCTCCATGGTTGCGCAAAGGTCGAACAATGCTTCTCCCAAAGAAAAGTGATTTGACTGAACCTATTAATTGTCTGAATACACAATGCAAAATATTTACGGGGTGTCTTACAGATCTTGTGGCATCGTACTGTGCTTCCAATGACATTATTTACATGGAGCAGAAAGGAGCCAGAAAGGGATGTTGGGGTTGTGAGGATCAATTGCTTGTTCACAAAATGATCCTTGAAGAGGCTAACATTTACAACTGTAACCTCTCGATGTGCTGGATAGACTACAGAAATGCTTATAATGCTGTACCTCTCAAGTGGATTTTGAAGTCACGGGAATGAATTGACCTCACCAAGCGACTACTTGTTTTACTCAAGTCTTTAATGTATTGCTGGTCAAATCAACTTGAGATGTAATCGCGGCGGCAGGTGATGACTTCGGAACCCATTTCGACAAGAAGAGGAATATGTCAGGGCGATTCTCTTAGCACTTTGCTTTTCTGTTTGTTACCAAATCCTGTTAAAGGATTTTGCTTAGCAAAGAGGAAGGTTATCATCCTGGACTTCCTCAGCACAGATCCCCGACACCTCTTACTCACCTCCTTTACATGGATGACCTTGAAGTTATTGCCAAAGGGCAATCCACATTGGAAAATATTTGTTGTCCTTGTCAAGTCCTTTTAAAATGATATTGGCATGCCCTTTGGGCTCGACAAATGCAACATTCTTCATCTGAAACGTGGCAAGGTAGACTCGGTCAGTTTACTTGAGGGTAGGATTTACTGACCTTCTCATGGAAGGTCAGGCCTATACGTTCTTAGGAACGCATGTTAAAGACAAACTCCAGAATGTCCATATCAAAAACAAACTTGGGGCAGAATACAAAGGGAGATTTAATAAAATCTGGAGTTCAGAGCTCAACGCTCACAATATAGTCAAAGCAACAAATACCTATGCTGTGCCCGTCCTTTCGTATTCTTTTTTTGTTGTTGATTGGACAAGACAAGACATTCAGGGTATTAAAACCCTCACACGAAGAATGATGTCAGACAACAGATACAAACACCCTCGCTCTTCCCACAATCGCTTATATTTTACCAGTTATGATGGGAGGTGTAGTTTGATTAACATGTAGGCTCTACATGATAGAATTGTATTGTGCACCTTTGCACACATTTATTTGTCTGGTGATCCACTTTGTGACTACGGTGACACGAGATTATGTTTGACCCCGTTAGAACCGAGGATTGTGGATGATTACCTTTGTAAAGGGCTATATTTACTCTATTATTACATGCTTCAGGACCCATGAAGATCCGGGGTAGAACCGGTTTTCAGCAAACCATGCTTGCCGTAAAAGGCGACTATGCTTGTTGTAAAAGGCGACTAACGGGTAGGGTAGGGAGAATTAACGTTTCAAGTTTTACATCTGCAGTGAAATAAACAACCGAATCCCGATAAAAATAAACTACACAAAAGGTATATATTAAATAGGATATTCCATGTGTCTTGTGAAATATTATGTTTCTCTCATCTCATGACGGGGAAAGGAGATATTTTGACTCCTGGCTTCGCCACTCGTAAAAAATCCCCCCCCCCGTCACTCGATGAGAGCAATGTGACATTTCACTCGACACATGGTGGTTCGTTAAGAAATATAACAATCCGGACGATTTCATTTGTAACGAGACAGTCCAGATTAACCGGGTTTCACTATATCGATGTTGTTCACTTACAGCAATCGACTATGTGTTTGCTCACTACTGCGGTATCTACCTCACCTCCACCCTCTACTTCATCATCTACGCTCTCTTCCGGCGCAATCGGCCCAAGGTGTTCCACCAGGTGATCGTCCCGGGCATAGTGTCGGGCTTGATGTGGGGGGTTGGCACGGCCTCGTGGTTCATCGCTAACAAGGCTCTGTCAGACCCCGTCTCCTTCCCCATCGTCTCTACCATGTCTATGGGAATCTCTCTTCTGATTGGAATTGTGGCCTTCAAGGAGATCAAGGTTGGTTGATGATGTGAATGAAGTGAATCTTGCTCACCACAGTCAATAACATTCCTGCTGTAACACGGCAGCCTGAACATAATCGAGTCTGGACTAGACAAACCAGTGACCGACAGCATCAGTAGTAGTCACGAAGCCTGACCATGTACATATCACACATAATATAGTCCCAATCTCTCAATGCGACTGTCATCTGATCGTAAATTCTCTACTACTTGGGGGCACACTGTCCTGTTTCCAGTTGCAAAATCTGGACAAGGTTGTAGATTCTTCATGGGTGAAGAGGGGGGGGGGGGGGGGGGCTACAGGGAAGATGCCGTCATGTATAATGACGATACACTGCTTACGTCGTCATATAATTTACTTCTCAATATGGTTTTCGATACAGGCTTTTCCACTATAACTAAAAATGTGTTGATGAAAAGACATTTATACAGTCGTTTGCGTATTCTATTTATGCTACGAACAACCCAAGAAATCCAAACAAAACAAAAAACAAAAAGAAACAAAAAAATTCAAAACCCAAAAGAAAGCAAGTACAATCAACGACTCCAAAATCAATGATATCTTGGCATTCCCACCAGGTAAACACCTCTGCATAATTTTATTGTTCGCATTACACTGACACTTATAATTTTAATTACTTTCAAGGAGCGAAATCGGTTCCATCGAAGTGCTCATAAAAATCTCCATCTTGTGCAGCCTTCCTCTGACATACATTGCTGCTACAACTCTGCTAGAAAGAGAGTCCTTTGTACGATTCCGAATATATCATGAGTATGTTAATGAATCACAATCAAATAGTGAGGATACCAGGTGTTTGTAAAAAGGTGAGCGTATCCTGCCCAACCGGTGGCTCGCGTCACAAACACATTCAAATGCAATTGTTCATCTGAAAAATACCCCACGGGAACATTTGGTTCAAGTCAAAATAGGGAATTCTCCTGCAAGATTCGTATGCTGCTCTTTGAAAAGTTCTGTTGTGTGTCTCCAAAATAAATCAATCCACAAAGGTACATTCAATGCAATAGATCCCTTATTTTGTTTGACATGACATTCTTAAAAAACCTCAAACAGTATACGTTATCATCAATCTCATCGAAATCAGATATTAGTTCTCGCTACCGCTAAACAAAGATCTGAGGACATCCTATTAGGGGTCACGTCAGACCGACCTTGCACGAACTTTGACCGACCAATGGAATGACTGACAAGAAGTCGACATTTGCCAATCAGAAGGCAGTTTTCTCGTGCTTTACGGCATTAGTTTCAAATTGGCGACTACGCTTTCGAAACATATTTTGACAAATTATCGATAACAAATTTGAAACCTTATGAAAAGAACATTCTGGAATGGCTAATAAATGGTCTAGATTGTATTGATTCAGTCGTTAAGCCCGTAACTATCGTTCGACTGTCACTTTCATGATCTGGTAAGCGACGCTCTGATTGGTCGGATGAAAGGTCGTTCTGACGTGACCCCTAATGGGATGTCCTCAGATCCTTGTTTAGCGGTAGCGATAACTAAGATCTGATTTTAATGAGATTGACGTTGTCATAATTGTCACATTACGTGTTTTGTAGGGTCGTCGCAATATCAGCATTGTTGTCTTCGCCATGATGTTCACCATAGGTGGGGCAGTAGTGACAGGCCTCTCAAAGACGTGATCCCCAGAGAGCCACGTCTGATGTTGAAAAGCATGAATACTCGGACTACAACGAATGACGTGACGCCGCCTGAAGGGGCTGTAGGCTCAATACGTTGACAACATCCGGCACTTTCTACTACCGTTAACACAATCTCATTAAAATCAGTGTTCGGTACCAGTGTACAGATCTGGGGACGTTGCAGTTCATGTAACATTAGAACGATCTTTCCAGAACCTTTCACCGATCAATGGAATGACGAACAGTGAGTGAGTGAGTATGGTTTTACGCCGCTTTTAGCAATATTCCAGCAATATCACGGCGGGGGACACCCGAAATGGGCTTCACACATTGTACCCATGTCGGGAATCGAACCCGGGTCTTCGGCGTGACGGAATGACGAACAGGAAGTCGACAGTAGCCAGTCTGAAAGCAGTTCTTTCTAGCTTTACGGCACTAGTTACAAAATGGCGACTTCCTTTCCAGACTGTTTATTTTACAGTACTACATATTGTGTCATTTTCGAAATTTGAAAAGTGACCAAAAGAAAATGCTGGAATGTCTAAGGGCTAAGGAAAGTCTCTTCCGTTCCAAATGTTTGTCCTATTACAGCCCGTAACTGTCGTTCGGAATGTCTCCTGTTAACAATTTCAAGGTTGCATGACTAGAAATTAAACATATTCGGACTTTCACTTTCGCGATCTCATAAGCGACGCTCTGATCGGTTGGCTCAAAAGACGTTCTGATGTGACCTGCATATACTGGCATTTCCTCAGATCTTTGTGTAGCGGCAGTGAGAACTATGATCTTAGTATATCAAGATTGCTGTTTACAAGACAATGTAAATAATAACTTTAATTTAAGTATAATATCGTGGCGTAAAGAAAATGTTGGTCGTTGGAGCAGTTTGTTGTTATGTCACGAGCGATTGTTTAATTAGTGACAAACTCTTGTTACATCACAAACAGATTGTTGTTAAATCGGAAGAGGACTTGTTGCATCACGAAAATATGGCTGTTACATCTTGAACTGATGTCACATTACTATCATTATGTTGTTGATGTTAAATCACGAACTGACTGTTGTTAAATCGTAATCACACGCCGAGACGCCGAGACAATGGACTGTTCAAAAGATTAATTGCCTGATATGTTTGTATGTCTCAGTAATGTTGTATTGTTAGAACATTACTCTAACAGTCATTTTTGAAATCACGACTGATAGCTGTCATTTGTGATGTTTTATGTATAATGCCTTATTTACTAGTGTCAATGTGAATAATTGTTGTTTTTCTTTATATTAGTGGTGCATTATCCCAGGAATATAGAGCAATCTAAGTCACACCATGACGTCAGACCATTATGACGTAACTCAGAAAGTGTACTTTGTCGTAGGATTTTATCGCCTTTGATCTGCATCTTAGCAAGTAGACGAATGTAAAATGATACTGGTGTTTATGTTGTGGTTGAATGAGTCAAACGATAATTGTGGAATATGTCAAATGAATAAATATAAATGATGCTACTTTTTGTTACGCTTGATTATGAAGCCGACCCCTAATTAGTCCCCAATACGACTGACTGCATCGATGATCTCAAGGATTAGATGCATGCACTCAGGGAATCACCCTTCGAAGCTCACCATGAGTCGGGGGCCTGTTTGTATAACAAATACTAGAATACAACGAAAGCTGCAATGTTGTTAGGTAATTGGATGTCTTTGTGAGGTCCTTGGGGAATTCAATGTGCACATATAATTTCTGTGGTGATCAGTGGTTCAGGTGAGTCAATGAAGTTGGTTTGTTCCGCGAAACAAAATGGTCGATCGTGTTGAAGAAAAGAAATATTTGCTGAGGCCGATAAGCCGAAATGATTTTTCTCTGATTTTGTAGAAATACATAAATGAAAAATGATGATGTTTTTTGATAATTCGCCCAAAACACGAAAATAATCAAATTGTCTTTGCGCATGTACCGTGCATTTCCCCAAGAAGACTAATGGAGATAACTCTCAGTTTCCCTCGAGCGGAAGTGAAGTACTAATTTCCTAACTCATCGAATGTTATCAAATGGTTACATTGCCAAACAAATTCTTGAAATACCCCTAGCTTCTATTGGCAATACGTCAGGTAAGCAAACTACTTTCACCCCCAATGTGTGGTGGAGCGATGGATGTGAGGAGACAAACAAGGGAAGGAAACAGACCTACAGTAGTTTACTTCACTTCCATGTCTTGCTGTATTCAGAAGGAAACGTGCCGACTTCCAACGCGTCGTTCGTGGGGCAATACGCTCTAGCTGGGGTAACTTCAAATATAAATAAATTTACTCCAGTTTCCTCTATAGATGACGTATGAGCTGTTTCAGCATATTCAAAATCTGCTCTTTTTATTATCCGCGATTTTCTAAATATTTGTTGGAGTTCTTGGAAGATTCCTAAACGATGGACACATGCCATTATTGTACTTGTACCAAAACCAGGGAAGGATTCAACTATACCTTCTTCATATAGACAAATTTCACTAACTTCAACTCTATGTCAAATTATGCCTCTTTGAAAATTGTAGCCCATGAGGTAGTGCTATTTAGTCCTTTCCTTTTCAATATTGTAACAAATGACTTTTTACCTGATTTACTATTTGCTGATGATAGGTCATTTGGCAGATCGTTTGGAAATTTCAAGTTTTGTCACTGAATCAATTCAGAAATGTTTAGGCATCATTACTGTGTTGTGTTCTCATTAAGGTTCTCAGTCCAAATATGTTGCAATACGGATAACCCGACTTAAAAAACCGTCTCTACCAATCAAATCACAACTACTGATTACCGTCGTCTGCACATTTGAGCATTACTGAAAATGGCGCCAACAGGAGGCGGGTGGCAGTTTGTGAATTTGTTTTTGTTGGCGTTTTTCGTCCGGTATTCCCCAATGTCGACAAAGTGATGTAGTCCAACGGTCACAACGCAGAACAGCTTTCTAAATGAGGAAATATAGATGAAACGAAGCTTACTATCAGTTGTTGATTGGTCATTGAATGTCATGGCCACAAGCCCTGCCGAGTCTGATTTACGGCTTCAAGAAGTTTTGCTTCTTGGCAATTAAAGCAGTCATTATTTTTCCTTGTTAATAGTACACAAAGTGATGTTTGATTAAAGAAACGACGAGGATTTGGTGGATAATGTAGCCGACCCTCATCTGTAATGATATCTTATCCCAGTTTGTCGACCCTCAAGTTCGTAAATTCTAATGACATGATGCTGTTTTTAATGTGACTTTTACCTCCACAAAATATTGTTAGATTAAGTGGGTTCGTACCCATTCGGATTATTAACATGCTGTTTTTCAGAGCTTCTTATCTTGTAGATGTGACACGCGTGACGTTAGGTTATCTCCCCTGCCTGATTGTCGACATGTGCGTTGACAGTATGTTAAGATAAGCCATTTATTTTTTAAGCTTTTCTTGAAATGAGTCAGTTTGCGTGTGTTAAAATTGGGTCCTCACGAACTGCTAAACTGATACATATTCATAACAAGGAGCATTGAGGATACCAACTTCTTTATCATTCATACACAACGTTTCAGGATTACTTCTTACCACTTCAGCATTATAAATGCTGAAGTTTACAGACAATCAACATAGGTTTTGAATGACTTGATTCAAACTTGCCATGACTGCCGATTGAGTGAGCTATTCTCCCAATAAGGCACAATGCAGAACTGTTACGAATAATGCGAAATAATGTTATGACTATCATCAGGCGTTTAGATGACAACAAAGTAGTCACGGATTAACTAAGATGCTTTATTATATTGTGGAATTTTGTAGATGTAATGTGTTTTGACACTGATAAATATGTTGAGACACATGTTGATTGAAAAAGGTAATGATAGAAATATCATTTTCTGTTGCATTCCCTTGGATCTGTTTAACAGGAACAGGTACTGATTGCGTCAGATATGACTCATCAAAAATATAATAGGATTTTTTTAACGAAATTAAGCTTCGATTCTTGTGTAATGTGTAACCCGGCAACGGGGTTATTTCATTTGAATTAGACATTGTATTATTTGGGGGCGGTCGGGTAGCCTTTTTGTTAAAGCGTTCGCCCATCACGGCGAAGACCCGGGTTCGATTCCGACATGGGTAACATGTGTGAAGCCCATTTCTGGTGTCCCCCGCCGTGATATTGCTGGAATATTGTTAAAAGCGGTGTAAAACCTAACTCGCACACGCACCCACTCGTGTATTATTTGAGATGACTGCAAATAAACAGAACCAACTAAGTTGAACCTATTCTAATAGGTTGGCAATATCTCGTTTACCTGATCACACATATTTTCTGCGTCCTGTCACATTACCCAGTAAACACATTTTTGACCTCGATTCGAAGCATGATATTTCATCACTTCCAAAGCCGGTCTGAATCTCAGTCCTTACCTGTGTAATTGTGTTCTTTCTTCTATAGATCACATAAATTTGTTGATTAATTTCTGTTAAAGTACATGATATCATAATGCTGCATGCCATCTGTTGCGAAAGTCAAGTGAACACACAGGTCACAAACTTATCAATACAAACTTGTCCAGGAATTGTGTCATGGCTATTTATGTATGAGAGGAAAGACATAACATTAACATAGGCACACAAACTGACATCTAACTCGGTGACCGTTTCCATGTACTCACGTGTGACCTGTTGGCCTTTCACCTTAACCGTATACTCACGTGTGACCTCTGACCTGGTCACCGAAACCATGTCCTCAAATGTGACCTCTCACACGGTCAGTGGAGCCATGTACACACTTGTGACCACTGACCTGGTCACCGTAACCATGTCCTCAAATGTGACCTCTCACCCGGTCAGCGGAGCAATGTACTCTCGCGTGACCTCTAACCCTGTAGGTTTGGCCTCATGCAGATAATACCACTATAACTACCCTCTCCCGTTTTCACTCGACTCTACTACAAGCATTATTTACTTGGTACCAACTGTTCGAGGACCCAAAAATAAGAGTATTAATGGAAAAAAGCTTCGGTAAGTCTTATTCGCCTTAAATCTCAGTCTCTGTGATATCGATATACCACATACCTTCGACAACATACCGTTAAAGGCATTACAATCATACCAAAACATACCACTGACATACATATCATCAGACCAAATCCCACTGTCAAACCACACATAACCTTCAGGCTATATGGTACTGACATGTCACAAACAATCGTCAGACATAATCTCACTGACATATGACATACACTCATCAGACTACATACCACTGACATATCACATACAATAATCAGACTACATGCCACTGACATATCAAATACTATAATCAGAATAAATCTCATTGACATGTCACAAACAATCATCAGAACAAATGCTAATTTGGGGATCAAAACAGCCGTATGCATAGATGATGTATCGGCTGCTGTTTGTAAACTTCCGGTGGGTAATGTCATGTGACTGATCCTGTTGTGCTTTTTCACTTGGCTGTAAAGGAGGGGCCTGAAATCATGTAACGGTTACAAAAAGGCGCCTGATCGACTAGTCTCACCCGGCGAGGCATTTACCACTATAATATGAACAAGACTTCGTCATTTGACCATTCAAGTGTTAACAGAAATAAATGTTCTGAAAGGTAAGACCTAATTTTTGTGTATTGGAATTTATATAAGACACGAAGGGGGCATGGGTGGCCCAGTCGTCTAAGGCAATTCGCTGTGCAGAGTTGCGTCCCTTGGGCACGCCAGAAACCTATGGTTGTGGGTTCGAATCCCGGTTCGCCTCGATTATGTTTCTAGGTTTGTCAGAACCATACCCGTGCTCGTGGGTTTCACCGAAGTGGCAAACGTCTAAGACCTGCATCACTTGGGGCATTCCTCCCACATTAAGCTGACACGCCGTGATATGACTGGAATACTGTTAAAAGCGGCGTTAAACACAACTCACCCACTCACTATGTAAGACACGAAATCAGAAATACATCTGAGGGGTTTCAAAACACAGTACACGATGATAAATACAATCGGTATGTCCTATTGAATCGCCATGCCACATATCACTGTCAATTAACATGTCGCCAACATAACACCTACATCACATACAATCGGTAGACCACATGCATGTCATCACATAGCATCGACATACCAAATTCAACCTTGGAAACTCAAAACTTTTAAACTCGCATAACATCTCTGAAGCCGGGACATAAGTGCAGATATGAATATTTAAATGTTTAAGGTATGTGCGCGAAGAATGGGAAATGGCCAGAAATAATGTCTCTGTTTTGACTTTTAGTTCGGAAACAATTCTGAACACTGTTGTACCGATTTGGTGAGACACGATATAAATAACGATACCTTATTTCCTTGACAGGTTTCCGTAGTTTCCAGCAGATATATCAACGCACCCAAATCTAACACTGTAATGATAGGAGCGTCTAGTGTACGAGTTTCAGTCGAAGAACAAGGGTGCGGCAACGCGTGTGGTAGGAGTGTTGTTTCCCTGTCAGTGCCATACAGCTACTCCATAACCTTCTTTTCCACAAGAACCAAGGTCCATAGAAGCAAGAGTGACTCATTCCATTCTCCAGGTGTCTGGGTTGTGGTTGTGTCAGCATTAGCGCCAGGATGACATTGCGGTTCCTAATACTCTGTGCAGGTAAAGCCGAGTGTCTTCGTCTTATTGAATTATGTTGAGGCAGTCTACAGAAACACAAATTTGCAAGGACATTCACTTACAATATTCCAAACTATATTCACACCAGGAATGCTTATACTCTGTGAATTAGTTATACTATATACAAGACATCATATTTTCTCCCTGTCACCTACTTTTTGCAACCAACATACGCCATACAGAATCTGCTTGCGAAACATTTAATACTAAAGACACAATCGTCATTCCACATACCATCAACATACTATAGAAAATCTGAATTCTACATTCCATCAATACGCCACACACAATCGCCATTCCACAAACTGTCAACATACTATAGATAATCTGCGTTCTACATTCCATCAATACACCACACACAATCGCCATTCCACAAACTGTCAACATACTATAGAGAATCTGCATTCTACATTCCATCAATACACCACACACAATCGCCATTCCACAAAACGTCAACATACTATAGAGAATCTGAATTCTACATTCCATCAATACACCACACACAATCGCCATTCAACAAACTGTCAACATACTATAGAGAATCTGCATTCTACATTCCATCAATACACCACACACAATCGCCATTCCACAAACCGTCAACATACTACAGAGAATCTGCATTCTACATTCCATCAATACACCACACACAATCGCCATTCAACAAACCGTCAACATACTATGGAGAATCTGCATTTTACATTCCATCAACACACAATCGCTATTCCACAAACTATCAATATACCAAAAAAGAATCATCGTTCTATCAACAAACAACACACAATCAGCATTCCACATACCATTGACGTACCTTACAGAATGGCCATTCCAAATTCTATCAACTTGCAATCGACACACCAATCACAATCGGCGTTTACATACCATCAACATACCATACAGAATCGACATTATCCATGCGATCTACACACCAATCACAGTCGCCAGTTTACAAACCATCCCCATACCATACAGAATCGACATTATCCATGACATCAACACACCAATCACAATCGCCAGTTTACATACCATCAACATAACATACAGAATCGACATTATCCATGACATCAACACACCACACACAATCGCCAGTTTACATACCATCAACATACCATACAGAATCGACATTATCCATGACATCAACACACCAATCACAATCGCCAGTTTACATACCATCAACATAACATACAGAATCGACATTATCCATGTCATCAACACACCACACACAATCGGCATTCCACCTCCTATCAACACACTATACAGAATCGGCATCATACATACTATCAACCCTCCAAATACGGCATTCATATTCCATCAACTCACCAAACACAATCAGTATTTTACACATCATCAACATTCAACACACGATTAGCAAACGTCATGCTTTCAACATGCAACACACAACCGACAAGCTTCGTTCCACCAACATTCTGCATACCATCTTCATGGACTCAAACTACAAAGGTCCATGTTTCAGTGCTCTGTGTGTACGCGGCGTCAGCAGAGGCCAGTGCAGCACCCTTGACATGCGGAACATGCAGAGAGGGTAAGGGACTGATACTCACCTTCTCTACTCCAGCTTAGTTGCAGGTATACTTGGACACAGGCATAAAGAGCGACCATGTCCACTCCATGTCCCTCCGTTATAACTGATATGAAATGAATTGTATCGAACTGACAAATTATGTAATTATTCTAATTATGAATAGGAATGTAACATTTGATCGAGTTATCGTTGCATTACAACTTTCGATTACCCAATGCCAACACATCGATGTCAAATCTAAGTTTCAACAGGTGATATCGATGTCTAACTACACCATCGATAGTATCGACAGAACATAAACAATATATACATATAATCATGATCCTTTCCATTTGTTTTGATCCAGACTACATATTGCTTGAGGAAAGTGCTTATTCATTTAAAAAATGTTCATAAATGAGGCCAATAATAGGTGGTACCTTCCTTAAAACAGTTTCTCGTGCAACCTACTTGGACTTGGCGGGCGTGCTAGGCGCTGGCTTTCACTTCAGAGTCATCCTCCTTTTGAATGACTTAATAAAACCTGCTTGGAAAGCCAACTGTCGCCAGCCTCGTCTCCTTGAAACGATCAATAATCTCTTCATATGGTTATATTTGATTTTATATGGAAGCGGACTTGGCCGAGTCGTCCTAGGAGCCGCAATTCGCAATGCAGAGTTGTGTCCCTGAGGCGTAACCTATGATCAAGGGTTCGAATCCCGGTTTACCAGATTATGTTTTAGGTTATCAGGAACATGCATATGCCCGTGCTCGTGGTTTCAGCAGCGTGGAAAACGGCAAAGACTTCCCTGCATACCAAACTAACAGCATGTGACCGAATTTTTTTCAGCCCGGCTCAATGAAAACTTTCCAAAGTATTTGTGTTACGACATTGACAATAGATATTCAAGTGAGTAGGCACATTTAATTCATCAACTCGTTTTCATTATTACCATATTCTTACATTCTGCCATAACAAATAAAGTAAATAACTTGAATAGTATTGAAATGAGTGTAACATAAAGTATTCCTTTTGGAATATCTATAGATCTAATTAACTTACATTTTCACATTTTATAATAATTTGGTTAGAATGATTGTTATTTTTGTATTGTAAAGTGAACTATATGTATGATCCATAATTTTATGGAGTTACATTTGACAATGATCATGTCATCCTTTACTACCTAGTATTTATAAAGACATACATTTATCTATAAAACGTTCTTCATTGTTTGTATTCGGATGTACTTCTTACTTGGTCATCCTAACTGAAGATCGAGAAGGGGGAGCCCTGAAACTTCCTTGCAAGCAACAAAGAACCTGTTATTCATAACAGTGCCATGTCCTAAATGTTCAATCAAACAATGAAAAGAGTGCTATACAATGTACATGACGGTTCCGTGTCCTAATAAGTCTTTACAAACAATATATACGTGTTACCATAACGGTTCCGTGTCCTGAAACGTGCTAACAAACAATATAAACGTGTTATCAATAACGTTACCGTGTCCTGAGACGTCCTTACAAACAATATAAACGTGTTATCAATAACGGTATCGTGTCCTGAAACTTCCTTACAAACAATATAAACATGTTATCGATAACGGTTCCGTGTCCTGAGACGTCCTTACAGATAATATAAACGTGTTGTCAATAACGTTACCGTGTCCTGAGACGTCCTTACAGATAATATAAACGTGTTATCAATAACGTTACCGTGTCCTGAGACGTCCTTACAAACAATATAAACGTGTTATCGATAACGTTACCGTGTCCTGAGACGTCCTTACAAACAATATAAACCTGTTATCGATAACGTTACCGTGCCCTGAGACGTCCTTACAAACAATATAAACGTGTTATCGATAACGGTCCCGTGTCCTGAGACGTCCTTACAAACAATATAAACGTATTATCAATAACGGTTCTGTGTCCTGAGACGTCCTTGCAAACAATATAAACATGTTATCGATAACAGTTCCGTGTCCTGAGACGTCCTTACAAACAATGGAAAAAAGAGTTATTTATAACAGTGCCAGGCCTGAAACGTACTCTTTTCATAACAGTGTCAAGTCCTGAAACGTTAACACAAACAATGAAAAAATGTCACACATAACGGTTCCATGTCCTGTTTGTTTATTTCTTGTTTAAAGCCAAACTCAGCAATATTCCAGCTATATCACGGCGGTCTGTAAATAATCGAGTTTGGACCAGACAATTCAGCGATTGATATCATGAGCATTGAACTACGCAATTGGGATACAATGACATGCATCAACCACTCGATCCTGTTAGTCGCCTCTTACGACAAGCATGGCGCCTTTTAAGGCAAGCATGGGTTGCTGAAGACCTGTTTAACCCGCTTCTTCACGGGTCGCACCATGTCCTGAAACGTCATTACAAACAATATAAACATGTTATCCATAACAGTGCATGTTTTTAAACATCGTTACAAAGGATGAATAGAAGCATAAAAGATCCTTTCCATAAACATGAGAAATCTCTGCTTAAAGAAGAGTCCGTTTTACGATTCTGACTGTACCATACGCAAGACATCAATAGTATGTTAGTACAAGTAGTACAACTGCTAGCCAGGTTTGTGACCAGATCAGCTTCGCTACATTCTAAAATGATGTAATTACCCCTTCTATTGCCATTGTTGTACTAAAGTAAATTGTTAGTCATGGCAATGTTGCAATATGGTTAAAAGGGTTGAGAATCATATTTTAACGTTATCGAGCTGGGTTTCGAATAAGAATATAGGCCCCAATGACCTCATGCTCAGTGACTTGGTTGATTGACTTGGTTGATTGACTTGGTTGATTGCATGTTATTGTATCTCAATTTCGGTGGTCGATACTTATGATGTAAATCACTGGATTATCCGGTCCAAACTCGATAATTTACATATCGCCGTCATATAACTAGAATATTGCTGAGTGTGGCGTTACAAAACAATCTTATAGCGTTTAAAATCTTTCAGCACTTCGTCAACGGATGTATGTCCTGAGCTCAACAAATCAATTTGAGGGTAGGTAGACCTCACACAATATACTGATTGTGAAAACATTCATATCGGCAGACACTAGCTCGAATAAATGATACCTTTCATATGAACTGATGACAAAGATACCGATGTGTAAGGGGAAAACATTGCTGACCTGGTGACCACTGAATGTTTGGGCACATATTCAGTGCTGAGACCGAAAGTTATATGTGAGCACATCCTCAAGAACCTAGGGTATAATATCTCCATTCGTTATGATAAAAACCTTGGACCCATTCGCTACCAGTTTCGTTTGGGAAGTTTAGTCATCAGTCCATACTGCTTGAATGAGTGAGTATGGTTTTACACCACTTTTAGCAATATTTCAGCAATTTCACGACGTGGGACACCTGAAAATGGGCTTCACACATTGTCCCATATGGGGAATCGAACCCGGGTCTTCGGCGTGACGAGCCAACGCTTTAACCACTAGGCTACCCCACGGCCCTTCTGCTTTTTAGTATTTTTGGCACAAAATATCTCTCGCAGATGAAAGTTTACATGGATGATTTCTTTTATCGGACTCAAATAAGCTGTCATTGCTGTACAGGTTTTTTGTGTGAAATATAACACACTGAATATGATCGAGGATCCTGTAAGCCCCGAAACATGTTTTTTTTGTCTTCTTGCAGCTATATCGAGAGTTTTGGTGAAAGCTTACAAAGAAGTGCACAAGTGCCAAAGTAAGTTGTCATGCCAACATTAGCAGCATTAGCAGATAGGGATATTTAACACTATGATTCGGGCCAGTGTGGTAGACGAACTACGTGATTGTGAGTTTTTAATTCACAAAACGTTTTTCTGGATCGTTAGACATTGAAACAATTAAACTTAGCAGCCTTTTCAGTTCCCATTCACCTATTACAACAGGTTAGACTGAGATAATTTATAACAGAAGCAGTAAATAATGATCTGTTATCACATTGCAGAATGTGTGAGCTTAAGGCCACGTTGTTCAAGCTAGCTTATATGTCAGTGGCCGTAGAATGCACAACATTGTAAGACGGTCTTGTGAGACCAAAACCATCCTACAAGAGTCTTGTAATAAGGACTTCTTAACTACCAAATCTACCTATGAGGAAACGTCCTTAGGCACACTTGGTGGATCAATTACTTCTTTTGTCGTTGACCTCTTTCGTTTTCAATGACACTCAACACACAATCATGATGCGGCCAGAGCTCGAACCACCGACCTTGGGCATTAGGTGGTGACCATCTACTGATTTTGAATTGTAGCGGATGTATGCGCCTACACGTTGCTGTTCCAAGAAAAACTTCCATTTGTATTTGCCAACGTCACCAACAAGGAGGAAATGGAGATCCTATGTAAGTTTACATTGAAGAATGTCTGTTGCCTTCCACTGAAGTAAGTCCTTGTTGTGTTGATTGAATTATATTGGCTTCCACTGTAGTAAGTCCTTGTTGTGTTGATTGATTTATGTTGCCTTCCACTGAAGTAAGTCCTTGTTGTGTTGATTGAATTATATTGGCTTCCACTGTAGTAAGTCCTTGTTGTGTTGATTGATTTATGTTGCCTTCCACTGAAGTAAGTCCTTGTTGTGTTGATTGAATTATATTGGCTTCCACTGTAGTAAGTCCTTGTTGTGTTGATTGATTTATGTTGGCTTCCACTGTAGTAAGTCCTTGTTGTGTTGATTGATTTATGTTGGCTTCCACTGTAGTAAGTCCTTGTTGTGTTGATTGATTTATGTTGGCTTCCACTGTAGTAAGTCCTTGTGTTGATTGATTTATGTTGGCTTCCACTGTAGTAAGTCCTTGTTGTGTTGATTGAATTATGTTGCCTTCCACTGAAGTAAGTCCTTGCTGTGTTGATTGAATAATCTGCCTTCCAAAGTAGAAAGTCTTTGTTGTGCTGAAAGATGTTTGTTTTTTGTTGAAAGCCGCACTCAGCAATATTCCAGTTATGTGACTGCGGTCTGTAAATAATCGAGTCTGGACCAGACAACCCAGTAATTGACAACACGAGCATCGATATTCTCAATAGGGATACGATGACATGCATGAACATGCATGGGGTGCTGTAGATCAATTCTAACACGGATCTTCACAGGTCTGTTGATGGATGTATATTGCCTTCCACTGCAGTAAATCTGTATTGTGTTGATGGATGCATATTGCCTTCCACTGCAGTAAATCTGTGTTGTGTTGATGGATGTATATTGCCTTCCACTGCAGTAAATCGGTGTTGTGTTGATGGATGTATATTGCCTTCCACTGCAGTAAGTCTGTGTTGTGTTGATGGATGTATATTGCCTTCCACTGCAGTAAGTCTGTGTTGTGTTGATGGATGTATATTGCCTTCCACTGCAGTAAGTCTGTGTTGTGTTGATGGATGTATATTGCCTTCCACTGCAGTAAATCTGTGTTGTGTTGATGGATGTATATTGCCTTCCACTGCAGTAAATCTGTGTTGTGTTGATGGATGTATATTGCCTTCCACTGCAGTAAATCTGTGTTGTGTTGATTGATGTATATTGCCTTCCACTGCAGTAAATCGGTGTTGTGTTGATGGATGTATATTGCCTTCCACTGCAGTAAGTCTGTGTTGTGTTGATGGATGTATATTGCCTTCCACTGCAGTAAATCTGTGTTGTGTTGATGGATGTATATTGCCTTCCACTGTAGTAAGCCTTTGTTGTGTCGGTGAATATCTGTTGTCTTCACTTTATTATATTTTTTGTTGTATTCATGAATGCCTGTTACCTTCCACTGTAGAATGGCGTCGTGGTATCGGAGAAAGTCTGTGTGTGATACGTGGATATACTGTGGAAAGAGGCATAAAACACAACTCATTTACAACTAAATACTTGATCTTTTCAGGTTTGTCTTACCATAATGCATTCTGCAAGCATTACTTCAACAGTGACAAGCGGGACGCAAGCTCCGATGGTGCGTATATTTGTATGTAAACGTCGTAACTCGGTCCATACTGAACATGTTTTTTGGTAAACGTCGTAGCTCTGTTCAAGCTGAACATTTCAAATAGTGAACATTGAAGCTCTGTCTATACTAACCTTGTCTATTAGTAAAGGTACAAGCTTTCTCCATGCTGAACTTGTCTATTTATAAACTTCGTAACACACACACACACACACACACACACACACACACACACACACACACACACACACACACACACACACACACACACACAAATAGTTTTGTCCATCAGTTACCTTTTCGTAATTCAGCTGCTTAATCGTGATATTACGTAAAGTAACGCTTAACACCTAATCAATGTTCATTTCATTACTTCATTTTCTATTGTGCAGTGAAGGAGATAATTGCGTTTGTCAGTGGACACCCCCCCGAATGTTTACAGAGCATGATAGACTATCATATCCGTAAGTGATTGTTTTAGCTTGCCCTCTTTGAACTAATGGTACACGAGTGCCTAAGTCTTCAAAGACTTTGCAATCCACTGTGAGTTACGTCCCTTAGGTGTTCCTGGAGCCTATGGGTTCGGACCTCGGTTAACCCTGATTATGTGTCTAGGTTTGTCAACACCATGTCCTTGTTCGAACCTTTCACCAAACCTGTATCACCTCGGGCTTCTTCCTTTATGAAGATGGACCGTGAAGATTCCGGGGTAGAATAGGTCTTCAGCAACCCATGCCTGCCGTAAAAGGTGACTATGCTTGTCGTAAGAGGCGACTAACGGGATCGGGTGGTCAGGCTCGCTGACCTGGTTGATGCATGTCATCGATCCCAATTGCGTGGATCGATGCTCATGATATTAATCACTGGATTGTCTGGTTCAGACTCGATTATTTACAGACCGCCGTCATATAGCTGGAATATGGCTGAGTGCGGCGTTAAACAACAAACCAACCAATTTATAAAGATGCAAGACGTAACTAAAACCCTGTCCAAAGTGGCATCTGACCAACCTCCCTCACTAACACACTTTTACCCTGGCCTCATCACTGTGGTGCTCGTCACGTCGAAAGCCTGGAATCGATTCCTGACGTGGGTATATTACGTGAAGCCAAGTCTTGGTGTCACCAACCAGAACATGGCTGTCTATATTGCTACACTGTAACCATACTTACTCACTCATTAATTTGTAGTGGAAACCTATTTTCACGGATGATCTTAAGTTCAAGGATATATTTAGTTTCAATATTATATGAAATTGAATATGAAATTGACCTTGACCTGTTACAGTATCTTCAATAGCCGTGCAGAACTAGCCATTGAATGTGAATCATTAGAAATGTTTGTTTGTTTGTTGTTTTACGCCGCACTGAGAAATATTACAGCTAATTGACGCCGGTCTGTAAATAATCGAGTCTGAATCAGACAATCCAGTGATTGACATCATGAGCATCAGTCCACGCAATTGGGATACGATGACATGCATCGACCAAGTCGGCGAGTCTGACCACCCGATCCCGTTAGTCGCCTCTTACGACAAGCATGGGTTGCTGAAGAACAATTCTAAACCGTCTCTTCACGGGTAATTACAGATGTAATGAATGTTTAGGCACACTGAAGTTTTTTTTATACAGCCTCCTCAGGGGCAATAATCATGTCAGGATTGTTTTGTGCCCGAGACGAAACCCTATAGAATAAATATGATACTTTGCATTCCTAGCCGAAGTGCTTGCAAACATGCAGTTTACCCCGCCACCGACGTATACAACAAAACCAACAGAACATACAACAGACAATGGTCACTCGACATTAGGGTCCTCTTCAGCAACGCCTCGCACACCAACATCAACAGCTAAAGCGACAGATGCGGTAACGTCAAATACACCAACAGCAAAAGCGACAGATGCGGTAACGTCGAATACACCAACAGCAAAAGCGACAGTTACGGTAACGTCGAATACACCAACAGCAAAAGCGACGGTTACGTTAACGTCGAATACACCAACAGCAAAAGCGACAGATACTGTAACCTCGAATACACCAACAGCAAAAGCGACAGATGCGGTAACGTCGAATACACCAACAGCAAAAGCGACAGATGCGGTAACGTCGAATACACCAACAGCAGCCAAAACAACACCGACACCTCAATCACGTATGTATACCAACTTTCATCAAAGATCACAGAATTTGCTATCATTTTGTAATCTGAAAACAATTCAAAAGCCATTGTACTCTACTTTCTACCATTTGGTATCGCAACAAATGAGCTCATGTTGTCCTACTAATCGTCTAAATGGTCTTTTATTACTATGGTAACTAGTCTCCCAAACTCCCAAACTCCTTTCCCCAAACTCCAATCATCATTTGAATAACTGTGTCATTATCTTCCCAAACAATCAGTTACCATCGAAACTATTATCCTATAGCTTTCCCAAACCACCTTTCACTGTAAGTACTGCCCATATTTTCGACTACCGTCCGTTTGCTGTAAAAACGTACCGATGAAATGCAAAATAGATTTAAATCCGAAAGCAACAATTCATCTTAAATGGCATGAAAGTTATCCATGTGGCCATACCAACTCGTCACCATAATTTCAGACATTGTCATGAAGTAGAGAAAAAGTTGCTTAAAAACTATCATGTCATTGTTGGCGGTTTAATGCCTGGTGTTACAATGGGGTCTGTGCAATTAGCGTAACAGCTGAAGGGCATCATAGAACACAGGGATAGTCTCAAAACTTTTATTCTGAAATATTTTCATTATCACTGTCACCGTTACTGTCAACTGAGATAATAATTTGATTGACAGTTGCATGATCTAAACCATCTCTTCACAATATGAAGCTATAATTCCGGTCTCAACTTTGTCAGTGCACCCACCTCCGACTTACAATAATCATAAACGTGAATACCGAGGTTTTCACATCATCTGTGAATTTCATCATGTACCGTATTGTAATGATATATTGAGTTCGTTCTGTTTATTTTATTATTTGCATTTGAAATTAGCTGAATAACAATACCAAGAACATCACTAACACTGCTTTGAGAATATTTTACACCTTCTCATTGTATATTCCGTTTAATAACTACAAAAGAAAGGTATGCTTCTGATTTAGATTATGTAATTTGGCAAGATTATATGTAGGATAAAACACGTCCGAGGGATGTTATGGAAAGGGTTTTAAATATCATAACAACCCGAGGGGAAGTGTTTTATCTTACTTATAAATCGATTTTGAACCTTAAAAATTATCCCCAAACTAAATTTCAACCCATTATAAGTGTACAATAAAGCACGTCCAAGGGTTCTTATCACATTTAAAACACACAAGGATAACGGTTTTAGATATCATAAAAACCCGAGGGGAAGCGTTTTATCTAACTTATGAACCGAAAAAAGAAACTTAAAACAACATTTATCAACATTATCTGTTGCTGGCGTACGGATCTTGAAAAAAGGACATTCTAAAAAGCAGTGCGGCTTATCAACACACATCAATATGAAGGTTGCGAGTTCAATCCTCGGGAATATAAAGAAAATATTTGTCATTTGATTTTACATTTCATTACATGTTACAATCTGAACGGAAGTTATATTAATAAAATACCCAGGACACCATATAAAATCCCTGGGATATTATAACACTTGAATATCCTATAAAATCCCGGGAACATTACAACGTCCATGTTTATGAGATTTAACCCGACTGGAGAACAATAGGATGACGTCACCAGAGGTTTATAACACAGGAGAAGAGAGTAGTAGTTTGACCCAACACGGGCGAATTTCGGGGGCGAATTTAGGTCTGTTCAGTTTACAATGCAGACCCCCTTGTAACAACAGACATTGAACCACCAACAAATACATGATTCTTTGTTAAACATCTTTTTCTACCCCTCATGACAATGTCTGAAATTATGGTGGCGAGTTGGTATGGACAGATAAATAACTTTCATGCCATTTAATGTTATTGTTGCTTTCGGATATATAATTATTTATTTTGCATTTCATCGGTACGATTTTGCAGCAAACGGTCTCTAACCTGACCACAGTTTCAACATCTGACAGATATTTAAAAAAACATGGTGTCGGTTTCAGTAACGTGTGCTACATGTACCGACCTTGTCTCATGTACATTCGCGCCGACGGAAATAACCTGTGGACCAGGGGACCTTTGCATGACAACTGTCATTGACTCCTTGGCAGGAAGCAGAAATGTGATGAAGGGGTGAGTGTAATGATGGCTATGAGTCTTGGGTAGTGATGAAGGGAGTCAGATGTCCTCGGTTAACTGTGTCATGGATCAATCACGTGGCCATGCCACGCGTCTGACGTCTTGATGACGTCTTGGTGACGCAAGGAATGACGTCTGTCAGGAAGTCTTGGATAGGGATGGGTGAGTGACTTTGTACAGTATTTCAGTTATAACATAGCACATAACGTGGGAGAAAGGCCCGCGTTGATGCAGGTCTTAGACAATTACTTCTTTGGGGAAAGCTGGAGAAATACCTAGAAACATGATCAGGGCTAATCAGAGATTCGAACCCACGATCATATGTTTCTGTCACGCCTAGATCGCTTCCGATGGTGTAGTGGATAGAGCGTCTGTCCGGCGAGCGGAAGATCGTGGGTTAATAGGTGGTACTTGTTGTTACCCTGACTGGCGCTCGGCATTAAGGGGTTAAAACAAGGACTGGTCGGCTCGGAGTCAGTGTACTGTGTCTGAGTAGGGTATTCATGTTAAACTGCGGCATGGTATCTCCGTTGGTTAGCACCATAGAATCCAAATTAGTCTGGACTAGTACAAGGAGCACACACTCACACACACACGTATATGCACGTCGCAATATAAATGTTACAATCTTGAACGTGACGTTAAACCCCACTTCACCTCGCCTTCTGTCACACCCAAAGGCCGCAACTATGTACAGGGAATTTCCCATCGCTTGTGCCTGTAATATCTAGTATAGTATTTTTTATGAGGTGTATTTAAGAGTTGACGTGTAACATCCTGATCAGAATATATATATTATGTTTTCTTGTTTGTTTGTTTGTTTGTTTGTTTGTTTTTGTTTTGTTTGTTTGTTGTTTAATGCCGCACTCAGCAATATTCCAGCTATATGACGGCGGTCTGTAAATAATCGAGTCTGGACCAGACAATCCAATGATTGACATCATGAGCATCGATCCACGCAATCGGGACACGATGGCATGCATCAACCAAGTCAGCGAGCCTGACCACCCGATCCCGATAGTCGCCTCTTACGACAAGCATAGTCGCCTTTTACGACAGGCATGGGTTGCTGAAGACATATTCTACCCCGGTTCTTCAGGGGTCTCGGATGATCGTGTTTGTTTGTCCACCCGCCCGAACCACTTACAACAGATGAAGAATGTGGTCGACGCCATGGTGTTGTCTTCAGGCGGTTGCCTATCCGGGTTCGATTCCCCACCTGTATGACGTCATTACCGCTGTTTTGGCGGATAGTCGAGACTGTTTATTCTCTTGCGTTGGCGTTTTATATTATATTTGTTGTTGTTGTTATGAATGTTGCTCAAATTCAGCGTTAAACCAAACCCATCCACCGTTTTGTATTCAGGTGCAAAAGCGTGAACTGGTGTGGCAGTAACTGGTGGTCGCAGACGAGCGATGTAAGCACGTGCCTCGATGTGGATACCAACCTCCACAACTTTGACCAGAAGTGCATGTATTGCTGTGAGAAGGACAAGTGTAACGCTGGGTCTACGCTCGTGCCAACGAATCTGTACAGGCCTAAACACTAATCTCGGTCACACGTCACAGTCACGTGTCTGGGATACCAGCCTCGCTCTCATTCATTGTAGATTATCATAGTCAACGTGTCAACTGTCATACGTGAAAATATTATTGGTGGGGAAATCAGTGTTGTTATTGCCTTTCAACAAAATCAGTAAATGCGCTGTCATGTGACTAGATTTCTGGTCCATCACGTGATTGGTTTGTTTACATGCCGCCATTATATATATGGCGGGAGTACTGCAGTGTGTTGCCAGGCAACAAACACATATTTTTTTAGGCAAAGTGTCTCCGTGGCGAGTGCTACCGGTGTTACATTCTCCCCAAACACATGGTGTCGTTACTGCTTTTCACCAATTGAGACTCATGCAAGATACATTACGGCCAGCTTGGTGGTTTGTTTGCCGCACTCAGCAATATTCCAGCTATATTACGAGTAAATAATCGAGTCTGAACCAGACAGACTGGTATCATGAGCATCGATCCATGCAATAGGGATACGATGAAATGCCTCAATCAAGTCAGCGAGCCTGACCATCGCCCCTTTCGACAAGCATGGGTTGCTGAAGACCAATTCAAACCTGAATTAGCAGTGAGTGAGTTGGGTTTAACGCCGCTTTTAACAGTATTCCAGTTATATCGCGGCGTGTCAGCTTAATGTGAGAGGAAAGCCCGAAGTGATGCAGGTCTAAGACGTTTACCACTTCGGTGAAACCCACGAGCACGGGTATGGTGCTGACAAACCTGGAAATATAATCGGGGCGAACCGGGATTCGAACCCACAATCATAGGTTTCTAGCGACGCAACTCTGCACAGCGCATCGCGGTGCCTAAGAGGACTGGGCCACCCGTGCCCCCTCTTGGTCGTAATTCCCATCATACATCATTCAGTAAGGGTGCGGTCGGGTAGCCTAGTGGTTAAAGCGTTCGCTCGTCACGCCGAAGACCCGGGTTCGATTCCCGACATGGGCTCAAAGCGGCGTTAAATCAAACTCACTCACTCACTCATTCGGTATGCTCGATCATGCATGAAAAGTCCAAAGTGACGCAGTGTATCACTATCAAGAACGAGTATATGAGTTTGACAGACCAAGCTTCTTACAATGGTCAGCATGTATATTTCATACCTCATATAGGCAAAACTATTACGTGCCACGCATCACACAAAAGGGACAATTTGAATTTGAATATTTATTTTGCATTAACAAATGGATAAAAATAATTTTCTGACATGATTATAGAAAGGCCAGAGACATAAATAATGTTATTGCGTCTCTCACGGTTCTATTGTTAAACATGTAATGGTTATTCTTCACACATACGGTAAGGAGAATTATTCTCCTCTGATAAATGTATACAAGAGAAGTAACACAATAACTTCTTATGTATAGGTCTCTAGAAAATAAATCATTTGACAAGAATAATTTGGCACAGGAGACACCAACAAACACGATGAAGGCCACGTCAAATTGATGACTTATTTGTTGAGGCCGGTATACATAAACCGCCGGCCAAAAGAAAGTATACACCCATGTTGCATGGTGGCTAAAAATGAACAAACAAGAAATGGTTATTCGGTGGTGATGTATTTGATACGGGTATCATAGTTGTGCTTTGGATCTTAAGTTGGCAGTGTTTACACCAAATAATGTTTTGATAACGTTTGTAATTTGGGGTCAAATCTAAATTTCAAGTGTACTTTCTTCTACCCGGATGGAGGTGACAGGTCGATATGACCAGAGACCACAGCTGTATCCAATCCAAGATCAAGATTCGTTGATCCGGATATGGTTAATCTTGACAATTTCACTTGCAACGTTAGCAGCCGGATAAAAGCGTTTTTACTCTAGTCTTCTCGTATATTATCAAAATGAAAAATGTCCATGCGTCGAGGTCATGAATTTGATGTGGCTTCAAAAAAAACTATAACACGTCTATGTGTGGATATTGGGGACCGACCTTTTCATATTCTTATGGGGATAAGGTTTGCAATGAGGATGGGGTTGGGGATGGGGATGGGGATGGGGATGGGGATGGGGATGGAGATGGGTTTGGAATAAGGATGGGGTTAGGGTTGTGGTTAGGGTTGGGATTAGGGATGTGGATGGGGTTAGGGCTGGGGTTAGGGCTGGGGTTAGGGATGGGGATGGGGTTGGGGTTAGGGATGGGGTTAGGGTTAGGAATGGGGATGGGGGTTAGAGATGGGTTAGGAATGGGGATTGGGTTAGGGATGGGTTTGGGGATGGGGTTAGGCTTAGGAATGGGGATTATTTTCACTCACAACACATCTTTGAACCTGTAATTTGGGTGTAAATTCACACGCTAAACAATCGAAAAAATATCCAGCACTCCCCCGAATATAACATGGTCGGTCCCTTTATAGGAAGACGGTGCTCATCATATCATTCATCAGGATCAAGTGAGCACGGTCGCCGGAATGTCTGTCCGACTTCTCTTATCCATTTGTTGGCAACTGAAACAATCAACAGAGATTGTGCGTGTTTTGAAGAACGTACATTCTCATGAAGGAATCAGTCCCCTCTCCCCCCCCCCCCCCCCCCCACCCCATTAGAAACTATATTAGCTTTACTTTAATCATGTTAACAAAAACATGTTCACCCCAATTTATACTGGTAAGGAAATAATCATATGCCCATTTTACTCCACTTATCATAAATAAGTGTAATTACTTCACTTGTCCTCGATAAATAACTGTACTTACTCCATTGATCCCCAATCAATACATGAACTTACTCCACTTATCCCCGATCAATAATGTACATACTCCTCTTACCCCGATAACTAAAACTAATGCACTTACACCGATAACTGAATGTACTTACTCCACTTGTCTCCACTAAATAAGTGTACTTACTCTACTTATCCCCAATCAATACATGAACGTACTCCACTTATCCCCGATAAGTATGTGTACATATTTCACTTACCCCCGATAAATAAGTGTACTTACTTCACTTGTCACCGATACATAAGTGTATTTACTCTACTTGTCCCCGATAAATAAGTGTACTTACTCCATTGATCCACAATCAATATATGTACTTACTTCGCTTATCCCCGATAAATAAGTGTACTTATTCCACTTGTCCCCGATAAATAAGTGTACTTACTTCACTTGTCACCGATACATAAGTGTATTTACTCTACTTGTCCCCGATAAATAAGTGTACTTACTCCATTGATCCACAATCAATATATGTACTTACTTCGCTTATCCCCGATAAATAAGTGTACTTATTCCACTTGTCCCCGATAAATAAGTGTACTTACTCCACTTGTCCCCGATAAATAAGTGTACTTACTTCGCTTATCCCCAATAAATAAGTGTACTTACTCCACTTGTCCCCGATAAATAAGTGTATTTACTCCACTTGTCTCCACTAAATAAGTGCACTTACTCTACTTATCCCCAATCAATACATGAACGTACTCCACTTATCCCTGATAAGTATATGTACGTATTTCACTTAACCCCGATGATTAAGTGTACTTACTTCACTTGTCACCGATAAATAAGTGTATTTACTTCACTTGTTCCCGATAAATAAGTGTACTTACTCCATTGATTCCCAATCTATATATCGACTTACTCCACTTATCCCCACTAAATAAGTGTACTGACTTACTCCACGTATCCCCGATCAATATATGTACGTACTCCTTTTACCCGATAACTAAATGTACTTACTCCACAATTCCCCGATAACTAAATGTACTTACTCCACAATTCCCCGATAACTAAATGTACTTACTCCACAATTCCCCGATAACTAAATGTACTTACTCCACTATTCCCCGATAACTAAATGTACTTACTCCACTATTCCCCGATAACTAAATGTACTTACTCCACTATTCCCCGATAACTAAATGTACTTACTCCACTATTCCCCGATAACTAAATGTACTTACTCCACTATTCCCCGATAACTAAATGTACTTACTCCACTTATCCCCGATAAGAACCGGGCATCCGGCGTGTATAGTCCTCAGATCCGGTTTACCGTTCCGGTGCAGGTTATACCAGAACGCCGCTGCGCCCTGCGGAAAATACTGGCACGTTAATCTAACCCTGGCATAGAATTTGTGTTTGAGACAAAAAAAACAACACACCTTTAGCCAGCGCTTTAAGACATGATACAATTATTTTCTCCGAAAGGGGAAGTGGAGCACTTTATTTCTCAGAACATCTAGAATGGCCAGTGAAAAGTGTATTGTGTGAAAGTCTGTAGACAAATTATGTCTTCTCAACATTATCACGAGCAAATGACACCCCACACAATATCAACTGGTCGACCTCTATGGTTCCCTTGTTAATTCGCAAGAACGTCAAAGCGACAAGCAATCTTACTTAAAATCAGATCGGGAGAACGGGAGAATCTGGACGAATTCGGCTGGAGACGGCTGAATCGGGACGCTTCCTGAACAATATCTGATTGTTTGTGAATTTCCGCCACGAATCACAGGATCTTGATCAGACTTTTGACAAATTTGAATCGGGAATGGTCCTATCAAGGACAACAGTAAAAATCCTGAATGTGTTACTGAGCCCTAAACAAAGATCTGGGGACATTCCAACGACAGTAATGGCCTGTACGACTGACTCTCGCTTCAATAAGAGACACATTTGAACAGAAAATACGTTGCATAGTCGTTGGGAATTACTGCAAGCTGCTTTCTGATTGGTTAATGTCGACTTCTTGTTAGTCATTTTATTGGTCGGTCAATGTTCGCGGTAGGTCGTTCTGTCGTGACCTGTAATGGGATGTCCTCAGATCTTTGTTTAGCGTAGAAAGGCCTAAGATCTGATTTTAATGAGATTGGGGCAGGGGCACAGGTTTGTTACCTTGGTTACTGGAACACGTGTATTGATGAGAGGGAAGACCGTGGCTCCCCCTGCTGGTACGTCGCTCATCTGTACACAAAATACATAATAGTGACGGACATACATGCAGCTGCGATATCGTAGCAATATACTATCTCATGTACAAGGGTTGGTTTCAATAAACAATAACGATCTAATAGAGTTTGATGCTATTTTGAACTTTTTTTTTTCACATACCCAGATTATCGTAGACTTATTTATACTCCCTTGTTTCCAAATTACCTTTAAGTACGGTAGATGTTTTGCTTGAATATGTATTTTGTCAGCTGTAAACACCAAGGGGTCGAGGCTACCGTCTCGACCGCTGTTACTATTTGTATAGTATCGGTGAACAGATGTCGGCTAGTGAAGGGGGGCAGTACAAAGCTACTGTTTTTCAAGAATCCAACCATGTATCATAATCGGGGTGAATCTGGGATCCGATCCAGGATCAGTGTATCCTAGAATGGCTAAGGGACGCAACTCTGCTCAGAGACTTAGGACACAGTCCCAATTCCGTGACTAACGGCAGAAAAAAGCATATATGTCATAGTTGTTTTTCCATTCTAGAAAACCGTGGATGTGTGCCTTGAAATCACAAAACAGTCATCATATTTGCGAAATATCTATCTGCATGATGATTATATTTTTCACAGCGTCATCACCGCGATAAAGTAAGAGTTTATTAAGGATGAGACTTACATAGAACAGCCACGTAGCAAGCCGGTCACCAGAATGGCGGACTGACGGAGACTTTTCGTATCCCAGCTTCCGGTACATCCGCTGAAATACAACAGGTTGAGTAAATAAGTTTGTTTGTTGTTTAACGCCGCACTCAGCAATATTCCAGCTATATGACGGCAGTCTGAACAATAATCGAGTCTGGACCAGACAATCTAGTGATTGACATCATGAGCATCAATCCTCGCAATTGGGATACGATGGCATGCATCAACCAAGTCAGCGAGTCTGACCACCCGATCCCATCAGTCGCCTTTAACGACAAGCATCGTCGCCTTTTACGGCAAGCACAGGTTAGTGAAGACCTATTCTAACCCGGATCTTCACGGGTTGAGTAAAAAGGTAAGTGCTTCCTTTCACCGTTAGGTAGTATGTTATGATTGACATACACATTCATATCGTGGACCCTCGATTAGACTCTTTTTTTATCTTTTTTTTTAGAAAGAAATCTTTTGTCTGGATCGTGCTCAACAATAAACGTCAGTGCAGCTAAAGTATGTTTTACTTCTGTGAAAAAGAATTAACGTTAATGATATATTTGTGTTTGAACATTGACCTTATGTTATGACTGTTTTTCGAGTTGATGTCGGTCATATTGGTATTTACATATTTGTGCACGTTTATGAATGCATTGATGCTAGTTACCACTTTCACACATCTAAAATGGGATGTTCAGAAAATGAACATGCTTAAATTCCGCGTGTCCATCATAATGTTTAATGAGGTTAATCAGTACTAGTTTTAAAAGCGAAGTAGCATTTGTTCCAGAGTCAGATGGGACCCGATGTACAAAGTGTTCGTATCTTTACGACTGTCGTAACTCTATACTTACGACTGCCGTAGCGCTACGAACACTTTGTGAATCGCGACCCTTGGCAGTTTCATCATATAACAAATATGAACTTGATATGATGACAATAAGTTCACACGTGAGCAGAAACTGGTACTCTTTAGTCTAACATAGAATTACCACTGTCGTAGCGCTACGAAACCTTTGTGGATATTATTACAATGAATATAACCTGATATGCCATAACAAGTAGAACACGTGAACACAAACAGCCACTTACCACGGAGTCCTCGTGAGGTTCGTAGAGACCTCCCAGACCGTAGTTGACCACCTGCGCAGAAGGCAATAATGAACATGTATACGTGTGCGCACTGACCTTTACACTTGGAAACGGCAGCGTCAACAGAAGAGGTCAAGGCCTTACTGACAATCTTTTTTAAATATCTGTACAAACCATATGATAAGATCATGACTACGGTTCTATTGCCAGCAGACGAGCTGTTGTACTGATCACGCTACAAAAGGATCAATGTCAATATTCGCCGTCTATGGTCTTGACGTTAGATCCGGCGTAGAAAAGGTCTTCAGCAACCCATGCTTGCCGTAAAAGGCGGCGATGCTTGTCGTAAGAGGCAACTAACGGGATATGGTGGTAAGGCTCGCTGACTTGGTTAATGCATGTCATCATATCCAAATTGCGTGGATCGATGCCCATGATGTCAATCACTGGATTGTCTGGTCCAGATTCGAATTTTTACAGACGGCCGTCATACAGGTGGAATATTGCTGAGTGCGGCGTTAAACAACAAACAAACAAAACGTTAAGTCCTTCTTTAGCGATGCATTCAATGGCAGTAACGGAAAACTTTTTTGGATTTTTGTATTACTGATTTATGAATAATGCATTTTAATTCGTTGTTCGTTGTTCCGTTGTAATTTGTCATCTAAGTCATGCCATGATCCGTTTGGCAATGAGTTCGAATCCCAGCATCTCCGATCCGTTTATGATCCTTGGTTCATCAGAACCAGACCAGAGTTCTTTGTTTTCACTTAAGGAGCAAACGCCTACCGCATGCGTCACACTTGAGTTTGGGTATGTTATAATTGAAGTACTTTTAAAGGCAACGTTAAAATCAATTCGCTTGCTGAGTTAGTGTAACAGACAAAACTCTTCCTACCTGAAAAGCCTCGGCGTGACTGTATATCCTTTGAAGTCTCGTGCTTAAACCCGTGAACAACTGAATGCGCCGAGAAAGCCGTGACGTCACTTCCAAGTCATCAAATACCCATGCACTGTTAAAGTAATAGTCAAAGTGGGGCTTTAAAAATAACAACATAGTGTAATAATCGTATGATCATAACTCAAAACACAACTCAGAAAACATATACATGCAGTGAGAGCCCGTGGTCTCTCTCATAAATGAACAAACGGTGTATATAGAACTGTTAAATGTGGGGGCATGGGTGGCCCAGTCGTCTAAGGCGCCGCGATTCGCTGTGCAGAGTTGTGTCCCTTGGGCACGCCAGAAACCTATGATTGTGTGTTCGAATCCAGGTTCGCGCCAATTATGTTTCTAGGTCTGTCAGCACAATACCCGTGCTCGTGGGGGTCACCGAAGTGGTAAACGTCTGAGACCTGCATCACTTCGGGCTTTCCTCCCACATTAAGCTGACACGCCGTGATATAACTGGAATATTGTTAAAACACAACTGCGTTAAACCCAACTCACTCACTCACTCATTCACTGTACAATGTGACAACACAACGGTGTGTGGTATTTGCTATGAATGGTCAAATGACCCTGCTCACATCTCGTCACTGACCTTTGACTTATCCTCTCGTTCATGCCCTCGTGACCTGAACCGTCTGGTTTACCCAACAATGACCGCTTCAACTTGAACGAGAACGAGACGAATCATGTTAAGTTATTCACCGTATATGCGGAGAAATATTATTCATGCAAAAGCAATATGGCAATTGTTCGTCTGAAACAGTAAACTCTCCCCGAAGTAGAAAAAGGGTTGGGTTGTGTTGGGATGGGTGGTGATTATGCTTGCACAAATAAGAAGACCTTGCGGTTATGATTTTAGGATTTTAAAGATAGTCATCGAGTCATAACAAAAGGCAGGAAAAGTAACACGTGGCCTACATATGGCAAAAATGAAATTCCCTTCCTGTACACGCAACGTACAACACCCCGAAATAAAAGGGAGGGGATTAAGCTTAGACCAATTAGCAGACCTTGCGGTTATGATTTTAAAGATAGTCATCGAGTCATACCATAGGCAGGAAGACCTGAAGAAACACGTGGCCTACATATGGCAAAAATGGGGCTCCCTTCTTGCACAAGCCGGATGTACAACTACTTGGTTAAAGGTATACCGCAAAACAAACAATTCATTTGTAAACATTGTATATTACCCTGGGTTTGTGTTACCGAAGTCTGCACGTGAGACGTCTGTGAAAGGGCTGCTCAATTACTTCCTTTTAGAAATTCAAAAGCAACTGTGTTTGATGCACAATCATACACAGTCGAGGGACTCCGGGTAACCTATGCTGGTTGTACGAAGCGACTTAAGGGATCTGATGGTCAGGCAAGTGCGTGCCATACTCAATTATTTACAGGCCGCTGTCAAATAATTGGCATTTAAAACAAACATCTACACATACCAGCACAAACAAACACATACCAGCCTCATTGATACATTTTTCACTGCGTCTATTTCACTATCGCTGATGACGTCATGGTACATCAAAATGGCAGGGTCGAGGTGAAGGTGTTCAACCTTGACCTTCAAGTAAGGAATGGCTGTCTGTTGATACCAGCAGGCGAGATCGGAAATTTCTCTTGGGCTCTGGGTAACAAAAATAAATTGTGAATGAACACACGAAGCAGACGTATAATCAATACCCGAAGTCCGAAGGGGAGTAAAATCTGTGTCGATTCCATGTTTGTTTTTGTCTTCCTCTAATCTGGCTCTAGATAAATATCACCCACATGCGTTCGATTCCGGAAAAGGCCGCATGGTGACACGTGTTCCCTGTGTCAGTCTACTGACTGGGTTCCGTCTAATAAAACGTAGAGAAAATAGACAACTATTCGTGATGTGTGCTTTTCCTTATGGAACAGTTGCTATTTAGATCCGATTTTAATATTTTCAGAACTCTTCAATATTACCCATAGGTTCAAGGGCCTCGGTATAATTACTTCTAGTTATTCGAACTGAGCGATACAATAGTTGCTTCTTGTTGATTGGCTAGTTCACGCCAACTGTGACATTGTTTACATTATTTGCGAAGGGGGCCGTGGAAATCTAATTATTATTTTTCTTTTTTAATTATAGATGATATTTTCCGTCACTGAACATGATCGGAAACCATGGCAACTGAAAATTCTCTTCACCTTACGGTCCTGACGACAAAGATCTTCATATGCCGACTGATAAAATCCTCTGACTGGCCGAGCCGTTTTGTTGCTTGGCAACACGGGCAAATGCACATCCCCTTCACCATCATCTTCATCCAGCTCTTCATAACCGACTGTGAAGAGGATGTCAGGGGCTGGAAGTGGACAATTTTGATACTTTTTACTATTTCCACAACAAATACGTGTCCATTTATTTCGTTCCCTAAAATATGCTCATAATTATTTTAACACATTTTCATATCTTTGTGACTCTTCATCAGATTTCATCACTTGATTAAAAAGCAAAACTTTCAAGAAGTTTCAAAATAGTAAGTTATATACAGTTGACGGTGTCTAGTGAGTGAGTTGGGTTTAACGCCGCTTTTAACATTATTCCAGTTTTACAGCGGCGTGTCGGCTTAATGTGGGAGGAAAGCCCGAAGTGATGCAGGTCTCAGACGTTTACCACTTCGGTGAAACCCACGAGCACGGGTATGGTGCTGACAAACCTAGAAACATAATCGGGGCGAACCGGGATTCGAACCCACAATCATAGGTTTCTGGCGTGCCCAAGGGACGCAACTCTGCACAGCGAATCGCGGCGCCTTAGACGACTGGCCCATCCGTGCCCCCTGACGGTGTCTAAACAGGCCTTTGTCTAATACGACATTATACATCGGTCCCAGCAGAGTGTAGTGATAATGCCATAAAACAATCTGTGTGTAATTCCTCCTTTCTTGTATTCCACGTTCCGGTAATGTTTGATAGTCACAATTACCAATTAACATAGAAAATACCTCTCAGTAATCCGGCACTTTTCAATCACTCAGTCGTAAGCCGTAAACAAATACTCAATTAACGAGGCGTAAGCGAGTCTACCAAATAAACACAGAGAAGGCTGGTATCGGTACATATCTAAGCATATTTAACGCCGCAGTCAGCAATATTCCCATTCGTGACCAGCTCGTGTTATTCCGGGACAAGCCGAATGGGGTATATTTGTAGATGCAAGACATAAGTAAAATCAAAAATTATATCTGAGGGATTCTTTGACGAAGAACTTGAAATCATACGCGCATTCTGATTGGTGGGGACGAGTCTTCTTGCAGGTTACGGGAAGGGGCGAGTGGTGACGAATGCAATATTCCTGCTGCATCACAACAGCGTGTAAAGAATTGTGTCAGAGTCAGGCAAACCAAGATTGACAGCCCAAACCGCTGTGAAATATTCAGAAAGGTTACATTATAACCACCTGGGCACCGTTCCAGAAAGCGATTTTAGCGCTATGATTGTCGTAAACCAGTGTTAAAGTATGGGAGTTACGATCACCTTAGCGCTAAGATGGCTTTGTGGAACGGGGCCCTGATCATTATATTCGTAAGTCTGTTATAGGCATTTAGGAGCTGGGAGGCCATGAATACATGACACTTTTAATGGATAGCAACTTATTTTATTCTTTATCACGACGTTTCAGAACTACTTCTTGCTCCTTCATCAAGTGAAAGTTCAGTAAGTATTAACTCTATGCACTTACTCAGCATTCACCTGATGGAGGAGCAAGAATTGCCGTAAAACGTCGTGATGAAGACGAAAAGAACTTGCTCGCCCTGCTCCCTGTGATAAAAATAGCATAGGCGGACCCAGAGGTTGGGCCTAGGGCGTCCCCCCCCCCCCCCCCCACACCACACCCCCACCACACACACACACACACACACACACACACACACACACACACACACACACACACACACACACACACACACACACACACACACACACACACAACACAAACACCTTTGAAAAACAAATGTAGTATGTTGTAGGCAGTAAAATTATCTGAGAGATGATTTTGATATTTTGGACCCCCTCTTTTAAATATGCTGGATCCGCCCTTGCATAGGCTTTCCTATATGTTGTTTTACGCAACAGCATCAAAGACCGACCGACTGTGGTCTGAACATAACAAGATGGCAGTTCAGACGTTTACTATTATACAGTTTCCTACTCGTCTTTGTAAAGTTTCAGGGGGCACGGGTGGCCCAGTCGTCTAAGGCGCCGCGATTCGCTGTGCAGAGTTGCGTCCCTTGGGCACGCCAGAAACCTATGATTGTGTGTTCGAATCCCGGTTCGCCCCGATTATGTTTCTAGGTTTGTCAGCACCATACCCGTGCTCGTGGGTTTCACCGAAGTGGTAAACGTCTGAGACCTGCACGACTTCGGACTTTCCTCCCACATTAAGCTGACACGCCGTGATATAACTTGAATAATGTTAAAAGCGGCGTTAAACCCAACTCACTCACTCACTCAATTGTAAATTTCAGATACATACCATACATTTCAGACTTTACAAAGACACTGAGGTATAAGAAGATTACTGAAAACAGTGGATACTTTTATCGTATTTCTTTATGCAAAACTTTTAAAAATAATTATTTTTCAACACATCAACATATTCGACATCTTACATCAAAACCGGTAATCTACGATACTGCATTAAGATATTCCTCAACTGATTTTATCTGCCCTTCACACACAAAAAGTCATTTGAAGCTCTAGTGAGTGAGTATGGCTTTATACCGCTTCTAGCTACATTCCAGCAATATCACGACGGGGACACCTAGCATTTGCCATGTTGCATTGAAACAGTTAATGCTTTATGAATAAGTTCACTAATTTGTAATTGGTGATATTGTGTGTTCTTTACACGAGTATAAGTAAAATTAGCTGCGAGGTTGGTATTGATAAATTGAATTCACACAGTTGGATACACCAGCCCTGTAAAGGCCGACAGGGGCAGACTAACAACGATCATTCCTAGGTGTTCACCCTTCAGACACAACACGTCAAATACAGACTAAAGCCGGAACTGATGCATGTACTCTAATCCACTCAGTCTGCCGGCTGAGTGGGACTTGCGATAAGCACTTTCCTCCGAAAGGTGATCAACCACATTAAATATAATACATGTTCTGATGACAGTCATATATACTACTGAAAAGAAGTTAAAGAGCACCCGATCATTTCATAGTGCACTAGTTAATCTGCCAAAGCAGCTTATCTATAATAGTACTATACAAAGATCGGTTTTCTGTTACTTCTTTTCAGAGTATACCCGATTATCATATATTACAATACTAGTAGTTAATCTGTCATGGCAGATTAACTATTAAAAACTGAAGATCGGGTGTTCTTTAACTATTTTCCAGTAGTATACATAGTCTTTTCGGAACTCTTTTCACATATTGTTAGGGGCGGTCGGGTAGCCTAGTGGTTAAAGCGTTCGCTCGTCACGCCGAAGACCCGGGTTCGATTCCCAACATGGGTACAATGTGTGAAGCCCATTTCTGGCGTCCCCCGCCGTGATATTGCTGGAATATTGCTAAAATGGGCGTAAAACCATACTCACTCACATATTGTTATTTCTTTATATTAGAAATTGCAAAAATTGAAGACGGTATTTCTACCTTCAGAGACCACGTGACCGTTGTATCTCTTCGCCTCGATCTGAAATAACGCAAAAGACTATAAATACATAGTTGACCCTCATGTGCATGTTCTACGGAGAGATTCGTCTTTTCAATACCAGTGCCTAGACAAAGAAAAGTTCACGAAAACACGAGAGGCTTAACGCCGTAGACGCGCCAATTGTTCTATCATTAAAAACATCACTTCAGGTGAGGTGAGCCAATATGGGGTTTAACGTCGCGTTAAATATTATTTCGCTCTGATGCACACGTGTGTGGCTGCTTGTACTAGTCTGGACTTATGCCGGTGTTTATAGTGCTATTTATAGCCCCCTGAGATGCCAAGCCACAGTTTAAATAGGATATCCCACATAGACACATTATACTGATTCCGGGCCGATCAGTCCTTGTTTTGTCCCGTTAATGCAGGGCAGTGTAACAAGTACCATCGTTTATGGGTATGACGCTGGCAGGGAATCAAACCACCGAGAGTCCCTTCTCCGGGAGGACGCTATATCCACTGCACATGGGATGCGGTCTGTCGTTTCAGGGAAATAATTTCTGCCCTAAATATGCATATTAATAAAAGCGACGAAACCCTTTCCAAATCATAAGACAACATTTTTCGTTAAAAGCTAGATAACATGACACATGTTTAATTTGCAAGTAGGAGGCGAGCGTTATTTAAATGTTTGCTCACCTTTTCTTCCACCTCTCTTAGTCTGTGATGTACGTCTTTCAGTAGCCTTTCTTGATCGCGCATTTCTTCTAGTCTTGTAATGGAGATGTTGAGCCACATCCGGGCATCGTGTGCAGTGTGATGGTGATGCACTTCCTCTCCAAGAACAAAGAGCTCATCTGCATCAAGAGGCGTTGTTTGAGTGTGGAGTAATCTCCCTTTGGCAACGTCATCGGGGTCAAGGTCATAAGTGTGCAACAACTTTGTGAGAGCTATCGCCGACCCTGTGACGTCTTCATGAGAAGGCCACGACGACACGGAGTTGATGGAAGAACGAATCTGCTTGAGAAAACCTAAACAAATTATATTGTAAATTATTATTATTATATGAACCCAAGAATAGAAGCACACATAATGAAGATTATAAATATCGAAGCTTCTACCAGTGGTACTGAGGATTCGCCTAGTTATTGGGTGATGGATTCTTTCTTTGGGTGAGGGGGACGGTTGGCCACGTTGTCTAAGGCGACGAAAGTCTCTGTTCGGAAGTGTAGTCGGTTGGGCGTACGTTTGATTTCCAGAGCATGACTAATTGTCTGACTTGGATTCATCTTAGTAGAAACGAGGATTCAACTTAGTAGAAACGTGGATTCATCTTAGTATGAAACGTTTCCGATATGCATTTATTTCGGTTTGTCTTTCACATTAGCCCGATACACCTTGATATAACCAAAATACTAACAATTAACGAAAAACCGTTATGAGTAAGCGTCCACTGCTGACATGTCAGTATACAACCTTTATCAAACATGATACGTTATCCAATACCATAATATAGTGTGACGTTAACACTTGTATTTCGAAAGAATATTTTATGCCAAACATGTTAACATCGGGCAATATATCTGGAACATGCAAGGCTATCAAAGATGTCTTGTATGTCTTCACACGAACACCTGGGCCCACTTGCACAAAGCGATCTTAGCGCTAAAATGATCGTAACTCCCATACTTTAACAAAGGCTAAGATAGTCTTAGCGCTAAGATCGCTTTGTGCAAGTGGGCCCTGGAGACATTACTGATTTTAAGTGATTCATTCATAGAATATATACCTCTTATTTGCATTTTACCCCCAATGGAATTTGTGTTTCGTAGGAAAATGGGGATTTTTTTCCGACGTTTGCGTTTTGTATGCATAAGCGGCCTTGGAGATTAATGTCTCAGTCCTCAGCCATCAATCAAGTCTTGTGCCAGTGGTTGACATATACTCACTTATCGAAGCGTCTCTGATGTCACAGTCCCCGCGCACCCTGGTGGCTCTCTGCCATCCGTCCACAAGGCGCCACAGGAACCGGAAGCCGTTGACGGGATTCTCGAGGTAAGCTGGGTTGTCGCACGCTAGTTGATTCAGGGGGCGCGTGGATGACAAGAACCTGAAAGGTATACCTCTGGCATGATGGAAAGTTGCAGTAACAAACTCGTAGTAATGATAAGCATCGATCTCGGCGTGGATGGTAGTGTGTGAGTGTGTGAGTGAGTGAGTGAGTGAGTGAGTGTGTGTGTGTGTGAGTGAGTGAGTGAGTGCGTGCGTGCGTGCGTGCGTGCGTACGTGAGTGAATGAGTGAGTGAGTGAGTGAGCGAGTGAGTGTGATAGAGAGAGAGACAAGAGGTACACACATTTCCTAAAGGTGTCGGCCCAGATAGAAAACACAAATAGTATGCTAAAAGTGTCGGCCCAAACGGTAGGCACACATAGTATACTAAAGTGCCGGCCCAAACGGTAGGCACACATAGTTTACTAAAAGTGTCGGCCCAAACAGGAGGCACACATAGTTTACTAAAAGTGTCGTCCCAAACGGTAGGCACACATAATATATAAAAAAGTGTAGTCCCAAACAGCAGGCACACATAGTATACTAAAAGTGTCGGCCCAAACGGTAGGCACACATATTATACAAAAATGCCGGCCCAAACAGGAGGCACACATAGTTTACTAAAAGTGTCCGCCCAAACGGTAGGCACACATAATGCATAAAAAGTGTCGACCCAAACGGTAGGGACACAAATTATACTAAAAGTGTCGGCCCAAACAGAGGTGAACCTATTCTTCTAAAACTGACCAGACACGTTGTCGAGCATATGCCGCGCTGAACCAAACACGCGGTTGCACCATCATGAGAAGACGAGTGAGTATGGTTTTACGCCGCTTTTAGCAATATTCCAGCAATATCACGGCGGGGGACACCAGAAATGAGCTTCACACATTGTACCCATGTCGTGAATCGAACCCGGGTATTGGGCGTGACGAGCGAACGCTTTAACCACTAGGCTACCCGACCGCCCCCATGAGAAGATGCTATCAGATCAGTACCGTGCGTGCCTCTTTCAGGCACTTTATATCCCATGAGATCGATGATTTGTATTCGATCTAGGTGTTATTAATAAATCATAACGGAGACAATTTGCGTCATTGATTGTGCATCGAGCGCCCATGGAGAACAGAGTGTTGCGAGACCCGCAATCTTTCGTCCCTCTGTACCATGTGCATGTGTGCGTGCATGCGTGCATGCGTGCATGCGTGTGTGTGTCTTTGCGATGGTTTGTGTGCGTGAAACGGAAAGGGTTAAGAGCTAAATTTTTGTTACGTGGTCTGATGTAAATATTCATTCAAGGTCATTGCATAGTCAAACCATGTATGAAACTCAGACAATGTCTGTTACTAATTGACTTAATTAAAAATTGCCCGGAGTCTAGTTCCTATCTTAATTGATCCCTCCAATAGAAATTCTTTTTATACCTTTGACGGTAACTCCAGTGCATATCTATCTTGATATAATAGGCTGCCAAGTACTTATTTGATTTGTTTTAAATAAGAACACTGTCTAACCACGTGTAGAAACAAACATATGCTTGTTATCCATTTACCATTTATGTAAATTGAATAGAATGATCTTGATATATGCCTATTAATGGATTAACAGAATTAGTTAATATAGATTGTGTAGATAGCCCCCAGGCAAAATTGGATGTTGTAATTGGAATGGACCTTTAACATGTACAACACCCGGCGTTGTATAGATATATATCCTTATTCAAAAGCACGCATGCTCCGGTGTAAGCAAACAGTAGCGGCAAAGTCTGTCGCTCGGTGCCAGTTATTGTGCAGCGAATAATGGTAAAACCTTGAACCTTGAATCTATCAGGTAGCATGAGGCCCGCATTTCATCTATATTGATTGCTGTACGATCACACACATTGACAAACTTTAATTAAACCCGACACGGCAATGTTGTGCAAGAAAAGGCAATTAGTTGCCAGAGGCTGCAAACAATGCAAATATAGCCGTGTTTGACCCTCGTCCGAAGGTAAACAGGTTTGTGGTTGTCGTTATATGGCTCCCTTCTTAACTTTGGTTAGTCACAAATAAAAATAGTAAGGCCTTAATTGATTCATTTCTTCGTGGAACAAAAGCTTTCAGATTAATAAAAATTGTATTTTTGAGGTAATTGTTGAGAAATCGACGTTAAAGTCGTTAACGTCACGTTTTTTTACAAATATTTTGTTAAATACAGTATTAGATTTCAGAAACTTTAAAATAATTTTTTCAAATCCATAAATCAGAAGTTGAAAATGTTTTGCATAATCAAACTATATGACACGTTTCGGAACTTCGAAGATGAGAAAAGCGATAGTTCCGAATGCAACTAATAAAGACCACGCCTATGCTTTTGCGGATATTTGATACACCCTGTCATGCCATGGCATATGCGCCTAATAAGTGGGCAATGTGTTTTCCGTGAGATATTTTAGTTGCTGACATTGAAATTTCCGAATTGGGCTGAAAATGAAATGAAGCGGATTCGGTTTAGAAAATTGATTAAATTTTGTTCAAAACCCCACGCATCTTTCCTTTAGACTGGGCGGGCAATGTCTGAGTTTCACGTAGAGAGGTGTCGTTCCGGAGTAAAGATCTTATTTTAACGCGATTGTCACTGACCTACTAAGAAATCGATAGGACTCTTCATATGGTACATATTTGAAAAAATATCATTCCAATTCGGCGTTTTCTATTTAGAAGTTGTACTTTTTGATGAAATCCGTCCTGGCGACCAGCAATACTGTTCCTGATGAATTGATAAAAATGTACACAAATGCAACAAAAGCCCCGCCCACATATAACAATAGTGCGATTGTAGGTGTGGCCTAATTGTTTTTCAGGTTTATTGAAACATAAACGCTTTGTTTGCAAATCAAATGTCATGGAATAACTTTCAATTTATGTATTTCCTGATCAAGGTAACACAACATACTCCACTTAATATTGCCATTGTATTCATTTAGTGCAGCGGAGAATTTAGGTTGAGTGATTGGAAATCGTATTAAACCCTACAAAGCTAGATACTCATTGAAAGAAAATGTCATGAGAGACAAGAATAATAAATTACGTATCTCATAAAGGATGCTTGGTTTCTACTAGCTAACACTACCACCTTGAAGTTCATCCCACTTACACGCATGGGCAACGTGAGAAGCAGCCCGTGTGGACCGGTTTGGTCACGTGCATGCAGGTGTGTGTGTGAGTGTGAGTGTGAGTGTGTGTGTGTGTGTGTGTGTGTGTGTGTGTGTGTGTGTGTGTGTGTGTGTGTGCGCGCACTTGGGTTTAACGCCGCGTCCAAGATTAGTGCACTTATAAAGCAAGGTGCATGCAAGTGTGTGTGTGTGTGTGTGTGCTTAGGTTTAACACAGCGTCCAATATTATTGCACTTAAAAAGCAAGGTGCATGCAAGTGTGTGTGTGTGTGTGTGTGTGTGTGTGTGTGTGTGTGTGCTTGGGTTTAACGCCGCGTCCAAGATTAGTGCACTTATAAAGCAAGGTGCATGCAAGTGTGTGTGTGAGAGTGAGTGAGTGAGTGTGTGTGAGAGTGAGTGAGTGAGTGAGTGAGTGAGTGAGTGTGTGTGTGTGTGTGTGTGTGTGTGTGTGTGTGTGTGTGTGTGTGTGTGTGTGTGTGTGTGTGTGTGTGTGTGTGTTGCTGATTGTACTAGTCCGGACTGATGCCGATTTTAGTGCTAGCACACTGAGATACCATGCCGCAGTTCAACATGAATACCCTACTCAGACACAGTATAGACGACTAGTCCTTGTTTTAACCCCTTAATGTCGAGCGCCAGACAGGACAACAACAAGTACCATCTTTTAAAGTCTTGTGGTTTGATGCAGCCTGGGATCGAACCGTCGACCTTCTGCTCTTAGGGCAGACACTCTTTCCACTAGACCACGGAGGCGGTCTTATGGTGAGTGAGTGAGTTTGGCTAAATGCTTAGGAAAGGTTTTACGAGAAATCTTTTGGTAACAACCACGAGCATAGGTATGGCGCTGACAAACAATAATCAGGGCAAATCTCGGATTCGAACTCACGAACGTAGATTTCCAGCAAGCTTTAATTTGGAGGGGGTAAATTTCGCACATCGAAATGCAGCGCCTTAGGCGACAAAGCTTCACGTGCCCATCTCTTCCGTTAAATGATCCGTGTGTTGACAAGTGGTATGTGGTAAAGGATACGCCAGGGATATGGATTCCCCAGGCAACACAGGAACAATCAGCACTTAACATAAAACACACGAGCCTGTCCAGAAGACAAAACAGTTTTTGTTGAGCTCACAGTTATCTCCGCCACGCCAAGTTGGCTTGTTTCTGCCGAAGAAACTGTTTTTGTTTTTCAGTTCCTTAGAGGAGAAGCAGAACAACATTAAAATTTGATTTGCGCTCAATCGTATTTGTAAGCCTGTTGTTGCACCATTGTCTGGTATTGTAGACCCGTGGCGAAGACGCGCACCACGCGTACTGCTAATGTGTACACGGATTGCAGACTCGTCAATTACTTCAATTGATTCCTGGCTGTCTAATGGATAGAGTGCTTCCTTATTATGCCCATTGCTAGAGGTATCCGGGTATGTGATGCTTCAAAAGACAACTATAGACACAAGCAGTTGACTGAGTGTAGTTGGTTCGTGGACAGGTTCGTGGTAGCATTGAGAACACGAGGTGTAAGAAATCCATTGTGTTGATAGATATATAAGCCGTACAAATAGATGGTCTTTCCTTCAATATTATAATAAGTACGTGAATAAAAAAGGTAAAGGAGTTTGTTGTATTTTGCAAGATGGTGTCTAGTCACTGAATGGTTTACTTTATGTATAGATGAAGAATGGTATACACATTATCAGGCAATGTTTTATTTAAACATAATTTATACTTGAAATTCCTTCCTATGCGATGCAGCGAAACGAAGTTTTTTTCAAATCTTAGCCTTCGTATTTTTCTTAACTTCATATTGTAGTTTGCTCACTTAATGTTATAATCAAGAAAACAACACACAACAACTTCATTTTTCTTCTAACGGAGGATGTGTATCGGAGGCCTTTCCCCTTGGAAA